GTGGCTGGAATTGGGATGGCATGGCAGGGAAATCGTCGATGGAGCCGCGGAGGGGCGGACTGGCACCGGGATTAGAGGTGAAAGGCTGCATGCAGATGAGCTGAAACGCCTAGCCACAAGACGCCGTGAAGTTACCTTTGGCGGTGGCTGCTTGGCAACCTGTTCCAAGTATGCAGAACAGAGCTTAAGTCAGTGTCGCTGTCTACTGTCTGTTGGAGCTCATTAGTACACGGCTGATTGTCTGGATTGAGAAGCTCGCAAGCAGAGGCACTGTATAGCATGGCAGAAGAAAGGCTGGTCAAGCAAAAGCAGATACATGGAGTCGAGGCTCCGATCGACGACACTGTGGCTGGTGGTGTTGAGGATCGCAGACAAGTGCAAGTATCAAGTAACATCCCGGACGGCGATGATGGATCCCCCCCTATCATAGCAGGGCCATGTGCATACAGCATAGAGAAAGAAGGCAAGCGGTGCCGTGCTGCGTGTAGGAAGCCAGCAAGCAGGTTGTAGCAGCGGGCGGACGCGTGTGAAGTTGGAGCTGTTGACATCATACCGCTGGGAGCTCCCCTGTCGAATCCTCGCTTAACTTAGCCATGGCTCCAAGATGAACGCCACGAGCCGCGTCAATGGCAAAACAAAAAAAAACTGGACTCCAAATGAGCTGGACAAGACCCTGCGTCACAAGCTGCTGAGAGTACAAGTACACCTACACCTAGAATGAGCAGATGCCAGGGGGCTGGGCCATGATAGGAAACCAGGCACCCGCACGGCCTCAGCCAAGTCATTGCGTGAACGTGAGCTCATAGCAGTGTTCCCCAAATAACCGTAAGCATGTAAATTACTCATGGGCATTGGCATGGGCATGAACGGCGGGGCGGAGGGGCAGCACGAGCTCCCACTCCCTCCCTCCCTTGCCAACGGCCAACGGCTAACGGCGCGACGTTGACCCTTTCGTCTCCCACCCACAGGTGTCGGTCGTGACAGGCTGTAGTAAAACTTTATCGTCCCATGGCTCTTGTGCTTGCTATCACCATGCAACCCTCTAGCCACGCCCAGCATTCCGCTCCGACCCCATGCGCGTGCGTACAAAAGGGTCTTGTCTGGTCTGTCTGTCTGTCATACCACGATTTCCTCTTCTGGCCATACCCCGCTGGCGACACGAGCACAAGCAATTCCTCATCGGTGTACAGCATTGTCGTTTCAGCCTGTGCTACCAGTCGAGTCATGTCAGTGTATACATACATACATACATATCTATGGCAGGCTGCATAGCAATAGCGGAAATGATGCTTACGTACGTCCTTTGGTGCAAGCAAGATCAGACAAAAGAAACAACTCTGGGTCGGTGACGAAGTCTGATGTCACCGACTATCCCGCCTTGGCAGTTGGCCGCAACTGTGGCGGCACGGAACGGGGGTTCCGCTCGCCTGAGCGTCGCAAATCAAAGCTAACGGCTCCCATTCCTATCCTCTGGTTCTGGGCCTACTACCACGACTCGCGCTTCTTGCTGCTCGATACTCGATACTCGTGCCCCGATCCTCCCTCTCCAGCATCGTGGCAATCAAATGCGCCACACAGCCGCAACCCCTTTGCGCCGTCTGTTTGGCTCTGTGTACTCTAGTCTACATGTGTTGTTTTATTTTATTTTTACAGACAGCCTCACACTACTACCATTAAGCCCCAACTAGGACAGTTGTCCGCTCATTTCTCATGCATGTGGATATCATTAAACTAATTAAACTCGCAGCAAACCCCATCATGACAACCCGCACGTGACCTGCAACTTCTCCAGCTTGCTTGCTTTCAGCTTTCCACTCGCTCCTTCCATGACGCAGGGACTCATCTCGATCCCGTCGGCGCAATCCCGTCCTCGACATCTTCCCCTGGCTTGCTCAACCACTTCTTCCTCTTCTGCTTAGCGCCCGCATTCTCCTTCGCCGTCACTCTCACGTCGTCCTTCTCAGACCCGCCTCGGCTGAGCCGCTTCCAGATCCGTCGGCTCAAGCTCCCCTGCTTCTTTTCCGCCTCCCTCTTCTCTGCCTCTTGCGCCAGCAGTTGCCGTTCCCGTTGCGCACTCTCACTCTTGTCCATTTGCTCTTCCACCTTGCGCGCATGCTCCTCAGGATGCACCACCTTCTCTTCTACCTCTTTCACATGCGCAATCCCATGCTTGACCTTTCTCCGTGTCTTGACATAGGCTTCAAGACCCACCAGCACAGCATAGGATCGGGAAATGGACACACGTGACATGTCCACCCCGTTCTCTTTCAACGAGTGAACAAATACTCGAAAGTTCTCGGTAGGAGGCCGGTAGTGGCCAGATAGAGGCGAGAGGCGCCGTAGCTGACCATCCTTGACTTTGATCAATCCAGCAGCAGAGATTCGAGCGCCATGAAGGAATGAGCTGTGCTGGAAGGCGCCTGACTGCTTGATTCCAATGTAAAGGCGGAATGATGTATCCGCAACCTAACACAATGTTAGCACACTGGATGAAATGACGACAGCTCCAGAACATACAAAGATCCAGGTATTCGGCTTCACCGAGCTACGCAACAGATGGTTCAGAATCGTAGCTGCCGAGACGTATTTGATCTTGGAAATGCCCTTTGCTTTGTCGAGATCCTCATTCACATAATGTTCGGCCTCTGCTTCACTCTCTGACGCCGAGGAGCTCGAGCTGATCGATATCAACGAGCTCCGCCGTATCGTTCGACTCTGTCCGGAATGCAGCTTAGCCTTTGGACCATAGGCCGGCGTATCATCGTCCACGGGCACCACCCCGTTGACACTATCTTTGTACTCGGGCGTAGTGTTGATGCGCTCTCCGTTCTTCACCCAGCACAACCGTCCTTCCCCATCGATAGTGACCAAGTAGTTTAGCCGCTCCTCGCGCGACAAATAGCGCACTCGCTCCGAGTCCATCCTCTGTCTCGACACGGTAGGATGTTCGTAATTCCTGCCCTCGCCGTGATCCAACCAGTAAAAGAAATTCTCGTGCGTATCCTCCTTCTTCCACTGCTCATGGTACGCGCGCAGATTACTCCCGTACCGGTGTTTGTGGTCGACCATTTCGAGAAAGTACTGCAGATCCATCATCTTGGCCGTCTTTTCGCGCTCTGCCCTCGACGCGCTGCGCTTGCGCCGCTGCTCCGTCTGCTCCTCTGACGCTGCTGCCTCGTTGTCGTCGTTATCCGTCTCTTCAGCGCTATCATGCGGATCGTCTGCGCCTGCTCGTCGCGCAATCTCACCTGCTTTCTTCCACTTCTCGCGCGCAGCCGTCGAACTCGCGCGCGCCCGCTGTTCAGGCGTAGTCAGCTTCTCGCGCAGCGCTGCCTCCTCGGCGGCGCGCGCCTTGGGACGAGTCGTATGTCGCCATTTTGCTGTTTTTCAAAATCTTATCAGCTCTTTTTGTTTTCGTGTTTCGGTGGGGGAGGGAATAGTAAGATCGTAAGATTGGAGAACTGCTAACCGTCGCGTATCACCTGTTGGACACATTTAATTAGCCACACAAACTTTGCTCACTCAACAACCGTACAAATATTCTGTACGCTTGTTGTTTTGTTTTGTTTTGTTTTTTTTCTCAAATGGTTATGCGGACCTCTGCCCAGCGTGCGCTAGCGTCCAGCCCCATGCCCTGGAGCTGCCTTCGCTCCCGATATCCACGGTAGTTGCGCTGGATCACTTGCGCCGCATGATTCTGCTGCTCATCTGTCGTTTTCGTTGTCGTTGTCGTTGTCGCCATGTTTGCCATGCCTTTCTTTCTTTTTTTTTGCAACTTTCAAAACTTGGCAGAGGGGCTGGCATGCCACCTCCATATATGTTGTGGCGCAGGGAAAACGTGGAGAAGGGCTGAAGTGTCCGTGTGCAAAACGTTTGTGAGGCTTGACAGCTGCGCAGGGCACAGACCCCGTTCAAGTGGAGCTAGTTAGCCAATGTAATCCGGTACGCCGGCAACTTTTTGCTTCGTCAGGTGCGAAGAGGAGCCGCGTCATCGGTCCTCATTGCCCTTTTTTTTAAACCCCCTCCCACTAGTATCGTGAGCGTTATGTTATATATATATATATGCCTCAATCTTAGCGATGTAATAGTAAACGCCAAAGTAAAATCATATGTGCCCTATTCTAAACGTAGAAGCGTGATTCATTAACCTTTTTTTTCTCTCTTTTATTAATTCTCTACGGACGAGGTCATGATTGGAAATTTGCCAAGCTGAAGTCGTAAATTACCGAACTTTGATCAGCTTAGTCACATGACTTGGGTCTAGACTTTACGACGAACGTACCAACTCTCACCAATGTAAAAAAGCACGCATGGACGGCCTGGTAAGTCAGAAGATGATGATGGTATTGGGAAATTTGGCTGGTTTTGGGGGGGGATTAGGTTATATATATTTCGATATCTTGTATCATATAGCTACATGATTAATTTATGATTTTATTTACTTGTGATTGAAACTTTCTCCAGGAAGAAACTCTTTTTTTTTTGAAAAAAAAAATCTCTTGGATGCTGGGAAATCCTGTACATTTATATCGGTATGTCGAATCTAGAAATTGAATAGAAAAAATAACGGAGATTTGAGGGGTTGGATTTTTTTTTCTTCTTCTCCAGATATTGAATAGGTAGGTTTACCACTGTTTTTTTAAGATGATATGTAATTGGATATTTTTCAATTTTTGATAATACTAACATTTTTTGACTACTTCTGATATACAACGAAGCTTTAAACCCCACGCACCTCTCTCTCTCTCTTTCTGCTGCATACTTCAACACCTCATTGCGAGTTAACGAGCCAGCATATTGTAATTCAACACGGTGGACAGCGATCCAGTAATGCCCGTCCAACAATTGGTCTGGTATGATATCAAAACCATGGAACACAACATCTCGCATGTACCTACCATCTCCACTCCAACGCATCCGCACAAAAAAACCTCAGCACCTCTCCCAAACCCCCTCCCTTTCCTCTTCCTTCATGCCACACACATACACCTCCCCACATAATGGCGCCACACCACCCAGCACATGCAAGCCAAACGACACGCCTACCACCTAAGCGCTTCTTAACCCACATCCTCCTTTCCGCCATAGCAATCAGCATCCCACACCTCCTGTACCGCCTCCTTATCCGCATCCTCCTCTCCTACTTCCCACGAACCCAGCTCTCCACCATCCAACTCATCATCTTCCTCTTAACCTTCAACCTCACAAACATCCTCGGTCTCGCCTTCCGCCTCCTGTTCCTCGGCCAGGGCACTCGAAACCAGCTACGCAGCGAATCCTACGGCTCCATCGTCTCGTCTGTCGTCGCTGCGCTACATGGCGTTATTTTGCTGCTTGGCCGGTATGTGAATGGTGGGTTTACGGCAAGACAGAGCGCTGCGGTGCATTTTTGTGCCGTATTTTGGGTGCTTGAGGAGTGTGAGGGGTTTTGGGCGTACGGGCAGTGGCGATACGTGAGGCGTGCGGATGAGGGGCTGCGGTTTGAGTATTTGCGCGAGCCGGTGGCGTATCGGGCGGGTGCGGCGGATTTCTGGTGGTATGGGGGGTTGGGCAAGGAGTGCTTGGTGGGGTTTGCGGAGTGCGTGGTATTTCAGGTGGTTTGCGGGGTTGCGGCGTGTGGGATCAAGAGTGTGGTTAATCCGGATCCAGAATGTGGACTTCTTTGTAGTATGGTGGGTGGAATGGTGCTGTTTGGCGGGTATCCAGCTTCGGTGTGGGAAGCAGTTTTGGGACTGGCGCTGTTGAGGGTTGTGAGGCAGGCTAATTATGTGAGTTTTTGGGCGTTGTTCGCGTTGGCAAGGCGGTGGGGAATGGTGAGATGTGAAAGGGGTAGTTTTGAGAGTAAAAGTAAGTCTGGAAGTAGCTATGGAAAGGATATAACGTGTAGTTATGGTGCGTAAGAGTAGAGTTACATATCTCTGCCACTGCATAATCGTTGGTTGAATTTCTCACTGCTTAACGCCTACTACGATAGGCGGTTTCATAGGCAACTTTTCATCTTGAGAGTCTTCATGCGCCAAAGAACGCTTGCCATCTGCTCTTCATCTCCTGCAATGCACATACAACCTCAGTGTATACTGCACTCTGCAGTGCGTCACCATGAAGATCGTCATCACAAGAAAAGTCGCAGTGAATGCATTTGCGCACAACTTCCAAATATTTGGGGCCTAGAGTTTGGATAGAGTGGTGTTTCTCGTCCAGCAGCTTTCTCGCTGCGATAATATCGCTGGGTGTGCTGTTCAGTTGGGGTCCTGTAATTTCTCGTTGAGCACAGATTTCCAGCAGGGCGACACCGAGTTTAGCTAGAGTGAGGTTGCGAACGCCAAACGTATGCTTCAGATCAAGCGCGTTATGCTTTGGCTCGGTGGTGAGGGAGGAGTCATCTGGGAAGCGGTTGCTCAGGTGCAAGCTATCTAGTGCGTCGGAAATGTTGTTGACATCTGCGCGAGACGGATCCGTGAAATATGCCACGTCTTGAAGAGTCCATGCTTGCGGCAGCCAGGAGGTTGAATGGTACTGCAGGACTGCCTCGGTTAGCTTGTGCGCAAGCGTAAGCTGTTGCAGCATACGAAAGCGCTGAACGAGGCTCTTGATAGGCAAAGCCCCTTTCCGCCTGGCGAAAGACGATATATCGTGGGTGGCGAGTTTGCTGGCATAGTAGAACATAAATCGCATTACTGGTTGACTCTTTGCCACTTCAAGAAATCTCACGCAGCCATCTTGACATGCCGATGCAGACGAGTGCATTCTTGTTACGTGACAGCAAACGCTTTCTGTTGTCTTCAAGTCCAGCATGACAAAAGATTGGGCCTGTGTCGTTTGTATGTTGCTTGTTATGGTTGTTCGAACACACCTGACATTGTCTTTAGGATCATCAATTCGGACTCTCTTTTTTGATTTGGCTTTTTCTGACTTCGTCTTGGTTGCAACTGGCACTGTTTCCCCTATCCCATGACACAATGCGCTCGCCAGTGGTGGCTGAGGCGACGTTGGCACTTTGTATGGTGTAAGTGATGTAATAGATCGAGTTTGTAGCCATATTGGCATGTCGGTGAATGGCCTACACATTGTTAGCAGGATGGTTTTCATATGACGCACTGAGCTGCGAAGCATGTCTTCCCTGACATACTTTTGGACTATGAGACCTTGTTTTGGTTGGCATGCAACGACAACATCAAGCTGTACGCTGTCGTGGCCGCTTTTGGCATCGAGCGACAGCTTGGCCTGGTGTCCACTATGAGATGTGTTCGTGCAAGACCATGACTTGTGGATCGACTTTCCTAGTTGTTGCGAGGCGATGCGGATCTGCTGATAGCTCTTTGGCACAGCCTTGCGAATGATACAAGCCGATGGGACATTGCGGCGCTTCTGCATCTTGCACCTCTGTTTGCGCAACTTGCTCAGTGATTTGTTCCATTTGTCCAAGGACTCCAACTGTCGGATGTATTCATTCTCTTTGCGAGTCGCGTTGAAAGCATGCCAGACTTTCTTCCTGAACTCGTGTTGTGGTTGTTTTGTGTTGCCCAGACCGTCTTCAAGTTTGCTTAGGCTGTCTCGTGTTTCGCGGAGGATATCGTGGAGTCGCGTCACAATTTCCTGACATAGCTCGTAATCCTGTTGCATCAGGCTCCGTAGTCGCTGCTCAATGTCCTTTCCTTGCTCTTGCCAGTTCTTGTGCGCCGGATCCTCCATCATCTCAGATATCTCGCTGGGGTCGGCCATAGCTGCCTGCAGTAGCATGCGGCAATCATTTTTGAAATTCGCTGCTGCTACTCGGAACTTCAGCTGGATGTCGGATGCAACTTCTGCGTGTCGTGAGAAAGTCGTCAGTTTGCTCCTGGCGGTGCTGTAGGACTTGAGAATTTCAACAACGACTGGCACTACGCCAAAGACCAGGCCTGCGACTTCGATTCCCGACATGATGCTGAGAAAGAATTGGAGGAGACACGAGGGCTGATCAGGCTGAGCACAATCGCATTGTTGGCGGAGTGAGGCGCAGATTAGCCCCCATTGTGACACCTCAGCGCTTCTGCCCCTCAACAGCTCAGCCTGATCGCAATGACTCTTCTTCCGCATCAACATCGCAGTAAAGAATCCCTCGACAAAGAACTCTTCGTTGAATCATCCCCTAACACCTCTCGAGCACCCAATCGTTTGTCCTTCGAGTTTCTCGTCGAATTTGAGGCCGCAGGCTCGGTCCATGAAGTGCAGGTCAGCCAATAACGATCCTAGATATGACGATTCATCAACACAAAACTGATATTGGGAACAGCGAGAGTGTGTTGCAGTAGGCAGTCATCTCAAGACTACAACCCCCTTGCGCGCCAGGTTTTGTGTTCCGAATAGTTGTTGCCCATGTTTCCAGCAGGGGACCGCCACGAGGCGACGGCTGCCGAAGAAGGCGGCTTAGTGATGGAGCGCCGGCAGACTGAGACGGGGTGTTCACAAGAAACAACATCATCACCCCCGAGCAGCCTTACAGCCTTATCTAGAACGCGATCGCCGGTAATCCCTCCTATAGCCCATCCCTTCTTAACCTCTGGATCACGGAACTGTCTACCAATGACCTTTGATCACACGGGTCAGATAGCTCCTCCAGGGGCGGAACCTAGAGTTACAGCAGATCTTTGGGAGGAGGAAGGCACCCGTTATTTCCAAGTTGAGGCTAGAGGAGTTTGCGTGGCTCGCCGTGAAGACAACCACATGATCAACGGCACCAAGCTGCTGAGTGCGGCTGGAATAACTCGAAGCCGCCGAGACGGCATATTAAAGAGTGAGAAGACTAGACATGTGGTCAAAACCGGTCCGATGTACCTCAAGGGCGTTTGGATTCGATTCGAGCGTGCTCTAGAATTGGCAAACGAAGAGAAAATCACCGAGTCACTATATCCTCTGTTTGTGCATGATATTGGGGCCCTCCTATATCACCCGGTGAATCAGAAGCCCACCTACCTTGCCAACTCCCAAAACAAATACCCGGGAGTAAGAGAATCCGCCGGATCCAACGACTTTCACACTCTCCAGATTGATGCATCAGGATATAGCGACAAAATATCACAAAACCTCCCATCGGACGCGCATCAGGGCGGCCAAATCCAAGAGCGAGGTCCGATTGAGTCGCTATCTAGGTCTCTCATAGAGACTTTAGGTCTCATTCTTACTGAGGTCAGAATATACCTCGACAGGGCTCCACACTATAGTTCCCTGGAGTCAAGTTGTGCAGCATTGTTTTTCTGGGATACTGACCTAGGATTATCGCGAGGCGAGCTCGATGATATGCTACAAGACTCGCCTCAGCTGCGCGATACTTGTCTTACTGTTCTTGTGTCAATCTCCCAATTTGTCAGCACATGTATGTGGATGATACACGACCTGTTGTACTGCGCGTCACTGACATGGCACAGCGTTGATATGTCTCATCAGTAGCGAGCGGCGTCGAAAAGAAGTGTTACAGTCAACAAGGATTTTGACCTATCTAGACCAAACCGCTAATATGGTTGAGCAGCAATATCATTCAACCCACGAGCCCGAGCAAGATGCCGAAGCATTGTGTCAGACTCTCCGTACAAAAATCGATACTCTTATCATGCTAGCACCCAGCCTGGAATCAACGGCAGAAGAAAGCTTTGATGACGAGGAGCCACGTGCTATCCAATACCTCGAGAAACACTTTCCAGAGCAGGCCTACATCAACAGCGTTTCGGAAAAGTTCCCTCTAGCAGCGTCAGCAATTGTGGCTCAACTAGGAAAATTGAACTGGGATCGATACAACCACGTACTCCATTTACAGCGCGAAACGATGCAGCAGGAACTCCAAATGGCCGTCATGGAGAAGGCAAGGACATTATTCAATGACTCTGGTCTCGGGGTATCTTTACCAGCACAGTCAAAAGCTGCTTCCAGCTCAGGATCTGTATACGCACCCTCAATTGCGTCTACCAGGGCGGAAGCAAGTCACAAACGTGTGCCTCCACTTCCGGCACAAGCACGGTCTGGTGAGCCTTTTACCTGCGAAATCTGCAACAAACAAGTCAAGTTTCAGCGCACTAAAGCATGGAAGTAAGCTGATCCATCTCCATATACTCTTAAATGCATTGAAGCTAATCAACTTGCCTTAGAAAGCATGTCTTTGGTGACATACTGGCATATGCTTGCTTCTTCGCCGATTGCTGCAACACTCGCATGTTCTTCGAGGACAGTGATGCGCTAATGACCCACTTACAAGACCAGCATGGGATGGATGTTCGAATCTCTGATGTGGAGTGCCCTCTCTGCATGGAGTTTACTTCTGGGGACCGTGATGTCCTAGCACTCCACATTGCCCGCCATATGGAAGAAATCGCTCTTGCTATACTACCTTCTGGTGTTGAATCTGACGAAGAATCAGCAGGTGATTCCGCAAGCGTCATTGGATCTGTTGATAGCCGGAACTTTCTAGAAAGAGAGTTCCAATTGTTTAAAGAGAACTCCACCCATAAAGGTACTGGTGTCGCTCCCATCCATGTTGGAGCCTGGCAGTGCGATGAGAGTGGTTGTGGATACCGCAACATTGCAAAGAACACTACCTGCCTCCGCTGTGGAGCTAATCAGACAGAAACGTCGGATTCCCTACCTCATATGCTAAGGGAGTATATAGAAGAAGATGACCTAGAAATGCGTCATCGATTTGAGGCTGTCGCAGAAAGTACTTTTGCACCGCCTGACCTACCATACGTACGACAAGACCCTCATTCTCCACTGGAAGGTGAATATAAGAACCCCGTGAAGGGGCGAAATTCCGATTTACATTTTACCGAGGATTCACCATACTTGTCCTTTTCATCAAAGTTGCCAGGATCACCTCCTGCTACGAAAAATCTATTCACATATTCCTATTCTTCTTCATTTCGGTCGGAAATTGAGGGAGCCCCATATTACCTACCCACTTACACACACCATCCTGGAAATTTCTACGTACCGCCTCCTTCTGGTCCTCGTTCACTTCAACAAAACAACCGCTCTTCAGGGCCTCAAGATAACAGTGAATCATCTTCCGAGCAACGAAAAGGATTTCAAAATACTTTTCATCTTGACGATAAGCAATTGAACTCCTGGTCAGTGATTGAATCGGTGAGCTCGGGAGGATTGGTACCGCCTACATCGGAGCCTGGAGGCAACAGTGAATCATCTTCTAAACAACAAAAAAGACCTCAGCGCATTACTGCTGATCCTGAAGCGCCCCACTTGTTTTCATATCCTTCAAAATCGCCTCAAGAGAGGGGCGGGCAGCTCGAATCGGATGCTCAATACAATATTGACAATCTTGTTGAACAGCAATCGAGACCTCGAGATACTCCTCTTCCACCTCTTCCTCCGCTTCGTCTTTCTCCCTCTGTAAATTTAGGTGGCCCTTCAGATTCTACTTATTATCCTTCAAATGTTTATGAAGATACCGAAACTTCTTCTAAACAACAGCCGAGACTTCAGGGTTATCCTTCTCCTCATCATGTACCCACAAAAAACCCCAAATATGTAGAGACTTTGAGAAAAGCTCGAGAGGAGGCTTGGAGAAAGCTTCTAGAGAATATCAGTCCATCTGAATCAGAGCCTCAAGACAACAATGCGGCACCTTCTGAACAACAATCAAAGCCTCCAGGGGAGAACAAGAGCGACGGAGCTTCCGGGACGACGCCTAAAGTCAACACTGAATACAAGGAAAAACTGAGGAAGCGTAAATGAATATAGCACTCGAATACAGTGGGTATAGCAGTGTGATACGGCCACGAATTTGTCTTTGAATTTAGAATCATTTCGTTAGATTAGCAATACAAGCCAGACTCTCCTGAACAAACGTGAACGAGAAATTGTATTTCGATGAACCCCTTGGTTGTGATTTAGACAACAGTAACCAGGTTGGAAAAAAAAGCCTACACAGTAGCCAAAGATATCGATTCGCCGTCAACCCCCCCCCCCCCCCCAATGCATGCTCAACGCTCAAACATCATCAACAACCCGCCACGTACCCTCCATCAACGCATTACTCACCTCTGTCCCCTCATCGCCCAACTTCCTACTCCCCTCCTCGCCCACAACCGGCAATCGCACCTCAACCCTCTTCCCGCTCGGCACGGTCTCGCCCTCGATCTGATACGGAAACCTCACGTACTCCGGCAGCAACCCACACTGCTTCAGCAGCGAGGCGTGGTCCCAGCTAATATGCTCGTGGCACAGTCTATCGCCGCGCAGCGCGACGACGGACGTAAAAGGGATGGCGAGACGTTTGCCGGTGGGAGGGATACCCGGGAGGAGCCAGGGGACGGTGCTGGTGTGGGTGAGGGTGAAGATGAATTCGTCGATTACGCGGTCGATGCCTACGGTGCGGGAGATGAGGGTGAGGGAGGTGTCTGGGGGGTTGCTGAAGATGAAGTGGTGGGTGTAGAAGGAGGTTAGGTTTGATTTGCCTATTCCGCCGCTGTAGAGAGTGTTAGCTGGATGTCATCGTTTAAGAATGGAGAGAGAATACGCACGTCATTGTGGGGATGTGGTTGACATAGGGTTGGTCAACCATTGTTGCCATTGTTTTGGCTACGTCTCGTTCACCGAACTCGTATTTTGTGTGTTCTTCCCATACGGCTTCGAGGTCAAAGTAAGGGCCCCCCAGGAATGTTTTGAGGAATGTTAGACTTCTGGTGTGCGCTATTCCGGCGTTGCGTTTGTGGTAGTTTGGGTCGCTGGGGAGGATCCAGCCGGATTCTTTTTCTGCATCCTCGTAGCGGTATGTCTTGACACTACTGGGGGAGATGCCAACGGATTCCGATGACGACTGGCGACGGTGAGCGAATGGAGGACCGGATGTATGGACCAGCTGGGGTGGTTGGTTGGTAGAGCTGAGAGAAACGAATTTTCTGCCACCGTAGGATATGAGAGCTTTGATAGCTGGATTTTGGCATGCGGCTTCCTCGACATAGTAAGGAATTCGCGATATGTACGCTGGAAGACAGTCGTCAGCATGCAATTTAGAAATAGACTTAGGGTCTTAGGGATTTAAAAGAAAGGGTTCACGAACAAATTAAACCAACCCCTTTCTCAAACTCGCATCCATCACAGTTTTTGAGGGCATCTAGCGCTTTTTGCAGCGGGAACTCTCCGCCGTCCTCGGCTTCATTGCCTGGAACCAGAAGCTAGTGGGCTCTTAGCATCCATATCAACGTCAACTCAAACTCGTCCTCCTCGTCATCGCTTCAAATTGAGATACCCATCTTTCGAAACCAACATACCTGCACAACAGCAAACCCTTCTTCCGCCCACTTCTGCAACGGCGGTGGATCCAAATACTTCTCACTCGGCCCAATCTCCGCATAATGATCCAGCACAAGCACCAGTCCTGGCCCTCTTCCTCTCCTTGAAAGCGGAGCCTGGAGTGTTATATGTGAAGATATACGTTGTGGCTTCGAGGTAGTAGGTGTCTGTTCCGTCTCGAGAAGTGGGGTAATTCTCGTCATGATTGAAGCGCTTGAGTTGGTATCGCTAATGTTGGATCGCCTCTTCTCTGCCCCCCTTAAAAACCAATTCTGAAATCAGATCGAACGTTAAAGGAGAAAGAAGGTCCGCAACGTAAGTTGACGAAAAAGTTAGCTATCGGGATCGTAAGGGTCCGGATCAAACAAGCGATCAAACCGCCACCCCGATTTGCAATGATCAACGATAAGATGGGGGTGGAGCCAACAGCCCACCTGCTTGCCTTAATGGTGGGGTAAAGTAGCAACATACCTAAACAGGCACCGCATTTCAAGTCATGTATGACAAAGAAAGAGGGGGAAGCGCTGCATGCATGACTTCATTTGTTTGCGAGTCCCCGCATGTCCCAAAAAGTGCCCTGTCATCCTTTTCTCTCTACGTAGGCTACCAGCAGCAGCCCCGTTGGAATCGCCCAAGTTTCTCGCGTAACCACGAGTGCACGGTGATGTATTACAGACTATGCTTCAAGCGTCTTGTAGTGCCTTTTTGTACGAGTGTCCTTCCGCGCGCGCGCGTTGTGCCGGGTGAATGGGATCGATGCGTTGCGAGGCTGCGGAGTGTCGTGTGTTCGGAGTTCCTATGTAGATTGGATGCGTGTACAAGGGGGGACAGAAGTACAAGCGAGGGCTTTGTGTAGCCAAGGAGTGCACGTGGTGAGGTAGCAAGGTACCTTCCAAGATGTGTGCATGCAGCTAAGTCGCATTAGGGTATCCGGTGTTGGTATCGCCCCGTTAAGGTTGTATGTTCGAGGGTTTCCCTGGGTTTGTGCAATATATGACACATGATTAGGCTGTGATCGCTCTAGGTCCTCTCCACCGTTCAGAAAGCTTTTCACGATTAATCTTTCTTTTTGTTAGTAGCACTGTTTTGTTTAATCTTGTTATATAACACGGGATGAGTATGTTCATACGATGCCTATCATCTGTTACCCATCATTGTATGAGGATGAGAACATCGAGTCTGAATCACACAAGAATCGGTTTTCATAAAGAGTTGAGTTTGTTAGAAACAGGAATGTTGAGTCTAGCCAGACACTTCTGGTGAAGTTTATACCAAAATCAGCCCATGTCAAAACCCTAGCGCGCTTCATATGTTTGATCCAATTCCCTCGTCTCGAATCATCATGCTACCCTCCCCAAATGTAAAACTTTCGTTCATCGAAACTTCTTCCGACCATGCGAAGAAGTGGGCAAACGAAAACCATCGAACGTAGGCAATGAAGGGAGGACTGGCGGAGGAGGAATTTGAGGTGCGCTGGTTGTAGAGCACAACGAACTGGTCTCTTCGGGCTAATCTTAGTGAGAATAAAGTCTTCCAAAATCCGAATCCATCGTCTGCTATCTTACACAAGGGGATAATCTAGTAGGCAAATCTTGTTGAGTGTCATGGCGGATCTGATCCTCCTCCTTTCCATCTTCATGAGGAGAAGAGGTCTTTTGCTGTCGTTCTTGTGCTGCTTGCTGTCTTTCTTGTGTTGTGTGATCCATCCTGGCTCGCCCACGCTCAGGCTGATTCCTGCGGTCGACTTCGTTTACCCGGGCTCTAGCTCTGGCTCTAGCTGCAAGTTGATGCTCTGGGAACATTGGGTCTAACTAAGTCGCCACCTTGATCCAAAGATGCTTGTACCAAACCATGTCTGCTTGTTGATATGCTAGGAAGTGAGAGTTATTTGTTTGATCCTCCGATTTGCCGAGAAGATGGCGACCAAGGACGCCGGTCAAGGGTGAGTTTTTTGGCAGGAAGAGAACGGATTGTGAAGATGATAGCGATGCGTGTCGTGTAATAATAAGCACGAGTGTTCTGTAATCCTACAATGTGTAATAGTCTGCTTGGGTACGGAAAATAAAGGATGCAGCTAGGCCCTAATTTGTTGTTGGGACAGTCTCATTGCAGCTTCCGAGACGCTAGTTGAATGCTGCTCATATCGAGCAGGCACTGCATCTTTGGTAGCGGCATTGGCTGTACCCTTGATCTGTTGAAGGACCTGGGCAGCAACCGCGACGGCATCTTCGGGAAGCCCTGGTTGTGCGTCAGCATCACACAGGAAAGAGCATCGTGACACAGAATACTTACCCGCAATTCTAGCAACTTTCAACGCATGGCTTTCCCGATTTACACCTTTTCTTAATCGGTGTATATAAGAGAACCTCCCGTTGGGTTCTTCAAGCACATCGTTACAGTAGCATCCAAGCTTCTCCAAGTCCTTAGTCATGTCAGTGAGCGCGTGGAAGTGGGTTGCAAACAGTGTCCGGCATTGATTGACGTGGTAGAGATGATGGAGACAGGCATATCCCACCGCGATGCCATCCTCCGGCGTTGTTCCTCGACCCACTTCATCCATGATGACAAACGAACGGGGTGTAGCCTCCTTGAGGATTTGTGCTGTTTCAAGCATCTCAACCATGAATGTGGATTGATCTTGGTAGAGATTGTCTGCTGAGCCGACGCGACTGAATACCTTATCCACCAAACCAATTTCTGCATACTCTGCTGGGACAAACGATCCAGTTTGCGCCAAGATGGAGATTAGTGCATTCTGTCGTAGATAGGTACTTTTACCAGCCATATTGGGGCCAGTGATCAGCCATATACGTTCTTCCTCGCCTAATTGGCAATCGTTCGGTGCGAATTTGCGTCCTTGTTCATGTAGACCACTTTCTACAACTGGATGTCGCCCGCCAATAATATGATGCGAAGGCTTTGCACCAAGAATAGGCCGAATGAAGTTTCTCTCGATAGCAAGGGCTGCAAAAGCACATGCAACATCTAATTCATCAAGTACAGCTGCATTCCGGCGTAGTTTGACAAGGTTTCGTACCACTCCTTCACGTAGTTCGCTGAGAATACGTTGCTCCTCTGCCCGAATGCGGAAGCGAGTCTCATCCATCTGAGCCCCTAGTTGTGTCCATTCAGGAATTTGAAAAGAACGAGTAGACTTGCTGCTACTTAAGCTCTTCGGATAATGATGCGCCACTCGAGACATGTCTTTTCCTCTGACATGCGCAATATGAGCGAGGTTAGGAGTCCATTTCAGCGTTAAACTCTCAGCTCCCATGTCTTTGCGCAATTTGCTTTCTAGTTCGCTTTTAGACTGTCTCAATGTTTCCAGGGTCGCATGAAGTCGCTCCAGAGTCTTGCTAGCATTGTGTTTCATGATATGGACATCTTCTCTCCCATCTGTAGCGCTCTTGAAGCTGCCTGCTATCATATGAGGTTTAGGTTGAACATGCTTTGGCATGTTCTTCAAATCTTCTTCGCCAGCCTCTCGACCCAGCACGTCCTGAGCTAGTTCCGACATCTCTTCAGCCTCTTCATTTTCGATGCGATGATACTCAGATAAGCTGTCCTCGTCAATAGCTTCTTGGATTCGGTGCGCGAGCTGGAGTGGCAAGCTTAGATCGAATCGACGTTCTAGCATTGAAATGCACAGCCTTCGTCTATTATCAGACGTTGCATTTTTTGAGTCAACCGGAATTGAGCTCCTGAATTTCGCGTGTTCCCGCAACTCATCGAATACGGCAGAGGTCGTAATGATTGTTTTCGAAAGTTCCATGAGGTCATCGGCATCCCCACGGCCGTAGGTGAACTTGGTCACCAACCGAAGAGAATCGAAAGTTTGGTCTAGCAGTGCGATGATGTTTTGACGCAGCTGTGGGTATTGTATCATCTCTTCTACCAGATCGAGTCTGTCGTTGATGGTTGAAAGAGACATGGACGGAGCAGCTTCGTTTCGTCAGTAATTTTCAGAAGCCATTATCGGACATGTACTTACACAAGCGCTGTGTAAGTAGCCTTGTTCCACTCTTCGTGACCGTCTTCTTTAGAGTGTGTAACAGGCTTCCTTCGTATGTTCCATCACGAATAGTACTCCTAATTTCTAGTGCTCTCAGACTGTTCTTATCAATGCTCATATAGTCTTCGGCTTGGTGTCTTATCGGAGCCTGAAGCCGCGTCTGCGAACCAAACAGTTGATGCTTGACATAATGTAGCAATGAACCCCCTGCAGTCACTTCGCCAGGTGTGAAATCGGCCATGCCAAAGTCACCCACAATTTCTTCTAACATGGGTTTCCAGTTGTCAATAGTGAGTTGCGTTTTGGGGGGATCTTGGAAGGTGATTGTATGTCCATCTTGTTGTATGGCAAAGACAATGTCCGAGTAATCAGCCTCTTGGAAGACACTGCTCAACACTATCTCCCTCGGTTTGATACGAGCGAGCACTGAGGGCAGGGACGCAATGTCTGTACTCTGGGTCAGGAAGTCACCACTGGATAGATCAATCCATGCTAGCCCGACTTCAGTGCGCGGTAGGTTAAGAACTGAAGAAACGCTTGCACTGCCAGGACTTTGTTTTACTGCAGTTTCTTTCCTAAGCACTTTTGGATCTACATGGATACTAAGAAGGTAGTTGTTCTCCCATGGATCCATGAAGTGCTCATCAATGAGGGTGCCTGGCGTCACAATGCGCGAAACTCTTCTCGTATATTGAGGCTCACCCTTTGCTTTAGTTGGCGCATCATTGACATACTCGTCGCTTATTGCAACATGCTTGTTGAGGTCTTGGACAAGGATTTTGAGATAACGATCCAGCTGGTAAGCGGGGAAGCCAGCCTAGGACCATTAGCGCCGTTTTTGTTTATTAGGAAATGGGCTGTTGACTGACCATAGATACCGGAGGCTTCTTGCTGCCTTTCAAGGCCTTTCTTCTAGTTTTTCTGATATTTAGCAGGGACGCAAACTCATCTGCATGCTCAAAGTATAGCTGATTGTCAATTCAGTGAGGATAGCAGTTGATTGGCTATGTTTGTTAAGTACCTCGTAGAAGCCTCCGACGCGTGTGAGGAGCACACAATGGCTGAACTTGAGCATATTGTTGCGCACTTGCTGCAATAGCGGAGGATATTCTGGTTCTGCGTCATTCTGGGGTGGTAACGCCTCGGATTGAATGGGGCCTTGTTGTATATCATCCAATTGTAAAGTAGTTTTTCTCTTCGCGCTACGGCGTTGGGATGCTTGAAGCCATGGCAGACTCACATGCTGTGCTGCACGTGGTTTCGCGAAGGGTCGCGTTGAGCTTGGGACGAGGCCCGTAATGGCAGTATATGGTCTGTAAGTAACCGGCAGAATCCTGGTTTTGGGTGACAGATTTGGACGCGCCAGACATTCGACACGCCTGCAGAGCATCCTCGTTTTTCAAGCTGTGTAGAGTGAACATGGGTGGGGTACGATGGTCGAGATGCAGGGACGCGTCTGCATCCGGTTAGCTCATCGGACCTTTAGTACGCGGGGTACTCGGAGTGTCCAAAGTCAAAGCCACTGACGATACTTCAGCGTGCATCCGCTCCGTCTGTTTCCATTCACAACAAAAATGGCGCCCCAATTTGAGCCTATGAAGAATGATTTGATCCTACGCACAGCGAGAGGTTAACGACCCTCGACTAATCCTGATGGACATCATGAAATTGACATTGTACAGGCGAAAAGGTCGAGCGCCCGCCAATATGGGTAATGCGGCAAGGTACGAACTCTCGTCCTCGAAGAGCCCTCAGGCGCTGACGATGCGTAGCCGGGCGCTATCTCCCCGAGTACCACAAGGAAAAGGGCACCAACGACTTTTTTGAATGCTGCCGCAGCCCCGAAATCGCGTCGAATCTCACCCTCCAGCCGATTGAGCGCTACGCGGGCCTCATTGACGCTGCCATCATCTTCTCTGATATTCTCGTCATTCCTCAGGCCATGGGCATGGAGGTGATAATGGTGGACAAGAAGGGACCCCACTTCCCGGAACCACTACAAACTCCGGATGACAAACAGTACAAGGAGGTGCTTGAGAGAGAGGTGGATGTTGCAGAATCACTCGACTATGTTTACAAGGCCATCACTCTCACAAGACAAAAGTTGGCGGGAAGGGTACCGCTGATTGGCTTCTGCGGTGCGCCTTGGACCCTGCTGTGCTACATGGTTGAGGGTGGAGGTAGCAAGATGTTTATCCAGACCAAAACATGGATCTACAAATACCCAGAGGAAAGCAAGGCGCTGCTGCAGAAGATTGCAGAGCTTTGCGTCGAGTATCTTGCTCTGCAGGTACAGGCTGGAGCTCAGGTACGGACCATGGTAACACTCGAACGCATGATGCTGACCACTGCAGATGATCCAAGTCTTTGATTCATGGGCCGGCGAGCTATCCCCGTCGTCTTTTAAGACATTCGCTCTTCCATACCTCACCTACATTGCCGACAATCTCCCGGAGCGTCTTCGGTCCAAGGGTCTGGAGCCTGTCCCGATGACCGTCTTTGCTAAAGGAGCGTGGTATGCCTTGGCGGACCTCTGCGAGACAAACTACAACACGATCGGATTGGACTGGCTCCATGCCCCGGCAGAGGCATACAAGGTAGCGCAGGCAAAGGGCAAGGTGCTCCAGGGCAATGCGGACCCCGGTGTTCTGTATGGTAGCAGGGAATCCATCACAAAGGTAGTCGAGGAGATGGTGGCTGGCTTCGGCGGCGGCAAGCAGGGATGGATTGCCAACCTTGGCCACGGTATGTTGTTTGACCTGTTATATTCTGTCGCTTTGGGTGCTAATGTTCTGCAGGCATCACCCCGTTTGTCAAGCCGGATGATCTTAAATTCTACTTTGAAGAGATCCACCGATTGACAAAGGCTTAATATAGAAGCCTAGCTGTGTTAGGTTGGCCAAGGCTGTTCCGCCCGTGAGGGGGACTTTGAGTTCCTGCCAAGCACACAGAGCTCTGCCTGCGTATGTCGTCAGCGCCTTGATGTGCTAGCGGTGCACGGCGGGGCGAGATATGTGTCATGTGATAGCATGATGGATGACAAGACGAGATTCTCGAAACCAGACCGACTTGGTTTCCATGGAGATGACGATCAGGCTGCCAGCCCTGTCCCTGCACGTGTTTTGCGTTCTATATGGCACATGTACATATGCATGTCTCATGTGACAAGGCTGCGCATTCTTGTAGGCCAAAAGAAACCAGCATCGGCCTTGACCAGTATTATTTAGTTCTTGAGCTCGTCCGTCGTAGGCACTATTACTAGATAGCTCATGACCAAAATTTTCATCATTTTTTTCTTTCTCTCCTGGTTGGCTTCTGCACGATGGCGCCACGAGCCAAGGGCAAAAAGGGTCTTCCTGCATCGCCAATCTTGGAAACAAGAGCCTTGCCGATCGACTGCCACCCGATTGGCTGCTGGGCTCATGGTCCGAGCGTACGTTCATTGGAAGCTTCCTAAGATTTGAGCCCCGAGGACATGTGCATTTGATACAGAAATGGCGGTTCAAAGTTGATGTTGGCTGATTTATCGTCAATTATTGAGTCTCTAGGGCCTGGCGAGCAATTTTGGGCAGACAGACGGGTGTCTTGAGGCTATCTTGGGCTGGCGAGGCCCCATGGAAGGTCGTGGAATGGGTTGGAATCTTCTCTCGCTCGGCGCTGCCGGTGTATTTGCAACTACTACTTTTAAGTCCACAGGCGACCATCACCATCTGCTTCCACACAAATAATACACCCACTGTCTCGAGCCACAACCCCGTGCTCGCCTGTTCCCGTTTTGCCTTGCTGTGGCGACGATTGGTAAGTGCTTTTCCTTCCCTTTGCCCCCCTGTTCCTGTCTTCACTGCCGCGCCGCCGTTCACAAGGCTGGCCTTGTGTCGACGTACGCCGCTGCGCACCATAACCCAATGGCCTGACGCTGACCATATAAAAGATTCCCCCAAACTTTATCACTTGCGCTCTCCATCACTCACCTCTATCTGCTATACTGCCCCTCAGTTCGACTTTTTTGCGACCCCACTAGCCCCTCTACGTCGCTGCACAGCCTGCAACCGCAACCATGGTGAAGGATACCAAGCTTTACGATACCCTCGGGGTAAGCATAGCCCTGCTCCATACTCATAAAGGAATGTAGCCTAACAGAACCAGGTGTCGCCAGACTGCTCCGAGTCACAACTCAAGTCAGCATACAAGAAGGGTGCCCTCAAGTGGCATCCCGATAAGAACGCACACAACCCCGAGGCTGCAGACAAGTTCAAGGACCTCTCACACGCCTACGAAGTTCTCTCCGACCCCCAGAAGCGCCAAATATATGACCAGTATGGTGAGGAGGGTCTCGAGCAAGGTGGCATGGGCGGCGGAGGTGGCATGGCTGCTGAGGACCTGTTCGCACAGTTCTTTGGCGGGGGCGGCGGCCCCTTTGGCGGCATGTTCGGCGGTGGCATGGGAGGAGGACGGGAACAAGGGCCCAAGAAGGCACGCACAATCTCCCATGTCCACAAGGTATCACTCGAGGATGTCTACCGCGGTAAGGTCTCCAAGCTGGCGCTCCAGAAGTCAGTCATCTGCCCCAAGTGCAACGGTGTCGGCGGCAAGGAAGGCGCTGTCAAGAAGTGCGCTGGCTGTGACGGTCGCGGTATGAAGCACATGATGAGGCAAATGGGTCCTATGATCCAGCGCTTCCAGACTGTGTGCCCAGACTGCCAGGGAGAGGGAGAGATTATCCGTGACAAGGACCGATGCAAGCAGTGCAACGGCAAGAAGACGATTATCGAGCGCAAGGTCCTGCATGTCCACGTTGACCGTGGCGTTAAGAGCGGCCACAAGATCGAGTTCCGGGGCGAAGGCGACCAGCTGCCAGGCGTAGAGCCAGGCGACGTTGTTTTCGAAATTGAGCAGAAGCCCCACCCGCGTTTCCAACGCAAGGACGACGACCTTTTCTACCACGCCGAGATTGACCTGCTGACGGCGCTTGCCGGCGGCCAGATCCACATTGAGCACCTGGATGAGCGATGGTTAACCGTTGACATCATCCCTGGTGAGTGCATTAGCCCTGGTGAGGTCAAGGTCATTCGCGGCCAAGGTATGCCATCATACCGACACCACGACTTTGGTAACCTGTACATCCAATTCGACGTCAAGTTCCCCGAGCGCCTCGGCAACGAGGAAGGCGGGCCGATGAACCCTGAGCAGATCCGCGCCCTCGAGTCGGTCCTACCACCACGCAAGGTTCCAGACGTGATGCCTCCGCCAGACGCAATGACCGAGGACTTTACCCTCGAGGACGTTGAGCAGGGCGGTGAGGGTGCACGTGCACGCGGCATGGGCGGCATGGAAGACGACGAAGACGAAATGCACCCCGGTGCTGAGCGCGTCCAGTGTGCATCACAGTAAACTATTTGCTGCTCATAAACTTTTTCATTGCCTGCGAAGGGATAGACACAGTGGTATGAGATTACGAACACGACACTTACCATGGAAAGCAAATGGTTTCAATTGGGGAAAAAAACACACGCCGGGCAAAAAAATATGAGGACGGTGTGTGTGTTTGTGATCCCAGGGTTCGGCGTCGTGGGAGTCTTTTGTTCTATTTATTCTTTGGTTTTGCGGTGTGTGTTTTTTTATGATCTGATGAATGGATGCATCAGTGGTGGTTGTGGTAGTGTCGTGGTGACGATGAGAGCCTGTTTTGCGTCGAGCGTGAAGACAGCGAAGCGAGCGAAAGAGAGAGAAGATAGAGGAAGAAGAAGCCTAGGATACCAAAGCATGGTTCTTTTATGAGCTTTTTTTCTTTTAGTACTTTTCTCGTTTAATTTGGTTATATAGACCGATGGAATCAGCAATGTCGATTCTCTTGCTCTTCTTCTTGTTCTACGAACTAGACTAGGGATAAAAGTGGTCATGTCAACGTCACTAGGCACACAACATTCATCACATCATCTCACAAGACGCGAATGCATAACAATCACAAGTAATTTTCATTCCTTTCTCATCCCCAGAATAACCAATACAACAAATCTCTGTCCCTAATCCTCGTCCTCCTCACCTGCCCCTCCCACCAAACACACCCCAACCAGCAAGTACCTCCCTCTCCCCCCAAAACATCCATTCCCCCTCGCCATACTTTGCCAGCCCTTCTCTCCGTCCCCTCTCCCCCAGCTCCCCCCATCGCATCAGCAAATTCCCATCCAGCATGCCCCTAGCACCAGTCCCAGAATCCCACCCGCCATCTGGCGTATCGCTCGCACGGAAAGCACGGGGATTCAATCCCGCAGTTGCATCAAGCGTATTGGACAGATACGCACTGAGATTCGACAGGCGACGGTACGTATCTTCGCTGAGCGGGGTGACGAGGGCCAGCGTGCCGGATTGCGACGTGCATAGGATTTGGTGGAGGGGTTGCGTGGGTTTTTCGTCATCAGGAGACGAAGTGTCCATGTCGAAGTCGCCGTTTTCGGTGGTGTTTGCGCCGGCGAAGTCGGAGGCTGAGGGCATTTTGAGGCGCGAGTGGACGACGTGGAGGGTTGCGGGGAAGTGGCCAGTGTGGAAGGTGGATTTGTGGAGGAGGCGGGATCCAGCTTCGGATTTTGGATCTGCGGGGTGGATGTGGTTAGCAGGGTGCGAAGGGGGGATAGGAGGGGTTGATGAACGTACTGTCAGGGTCGAATTGTAGGACTTGCAGGTTCATATCTGCGTCTGCGACAAGGAGGTGGAGTTGTTCTTCAAAGGGGATGAAGTCGACGGCTATGGCTTCGAGACTGTGTTTTGAGCGTGCGAAGAGAGACATTCTGTATGGCTCTTCCTGTACAATGGTTAGTAACTGGCGTATCCATCACTGCACAAAAGAATCTTACTGTGTATCCTGTAAACCACACACCACGGTATGCGTCGCTCATAGCCAGCATACCTGTTCCAGGCAGGTTCTTCAAATCACTGACGTAACACTGCATGTCCATAAAGGCAACAGGAAGAAGAGTGCCATCTTCCTTGAGACCTCGTACCATGCACTTTTGTCCTTGGGCCATGATCATGAATCCTTGTGTACCAAGCTCTGAGATTGCGGAGACGGCACCCTTCACTTCATCCTTCACTATAAGCTTGAGGCGCTTGTTGGTCTCTGGGCGGTCTGGTTCGGGAACTACGGTGATGACCTCGAATATGCGGATGCAGCCTTTGGTGGCGAGGTCTTCACCGTGGAGAATCGCAGTACCCACTGCAACAATATCCTTGCGCTGGTGTGTATTTTCGCTGACTTCAAGATTAAGTGTCTTGATACTGAGGACTACCTCTTGTGGATCGAGAACATGGGTATCAATAATAGTCCAGGTCTTCTCATCTAGTAACTTGATAATGCCACGTTCAATAGTTGGTCTAAAGCTCATGTCCTCCTTGGGGAGTTCGTAATGATAAGTCTCAGACGGATCAAGCTGGTATTCCTCTGACTGTCCTGTGCCAACGATATACAAGCCCGAAGAATGGTAGGCGAGAGCATGTATTTCGGCATCCATTGGCATACGTCGTGTTGCCCAGCCTAAGTGACCGTAGTGCGTCTGTGGTGGTAGTTGAGAGATGCGGAGCGTATCGGTAGAGTCTAGGTAGGCGAAACCACGCTGGCAGCTGGAAGTGTGAAAGGACGTCAGACTCTTTACTGGCTTTCCACTCAGACCAATGACACGCGGTGCGCTTGACGACTCTTTGAAGATAAATGCCGGGGTAGTGCCTCGTTGGAAGACGGTACTGTACCCACCAATGTCACTCAATGCTAAGAGAGTACTCTCAAATCCAGAATCTTCTGCACCGCCGTCTTCCGTGTATCGTGGTATATGTTGCTGAGAAAGTTTGACCCATCGTAAGTTCTTGGTCCACAGGTCAGCAGCCGAACGTGACGGAGAGTGGAAGGCTTTGTAGATGACAAGGTTATCACTCGATGTGCGGATGATCAGATGTGGCGACTTGGTCGTTGCATCGCCCAGGTCAGCAGCTAAGATCTCTGTAATCGTAGCTTTGATGGCGCTACGCTTGGGGACATAGTCCATACCCAAAACAGGTGGAAGGAAACTTAGAGCTTCAGCGACATAACATGGCTTCTCCATATCTGACACTGCGAATACACGAAGGCCTCCTTCGGGTGTGAGGAGAAAAGCAAAAACTTCTGTGAAGCTAGCAGACTTGAATAAACTCGCTGAAAGCCATTGTGTGTTGGATAAACCAGTGGCTTCGACATCCTCCAGCTCGCCATCGCCAGTAGCTCTGAAGATCTTAACACTGGAGTCTTCGCGCAGGACTAGGAGGTATGGGTCCGCGAAGCTGGCATTGATGACGTTGAGCTCGTTGCCACTTTCTTCGTCCTCCATTGGCAGAATCTGATCCATATTAAGTTCTAAAGGGTTGGTTAATTATTGCACGGGATGTTTTGCACAGGAGCTGTAGCCTACCAGAGTCATAGGTACGAATCTCGGTCCGCATTACCTGCACAACCTTTGTGCCTGCTGCCAGTACGCCAACAAACAGCGTCGAGCCTTCTTCTCGTTCGAAATCACCCTTGTCGGTTTCAGTGAGTTCGTTGCCATTGACCTCGTACACGACAGTGCTCTCGGTTCCATCCTCACCAGTCTTGGATACCACGAGATACTGGTCATAGTCTACATTAGTAGCCATATTGGCCTCCATGTCTTCACCAAAAGCAGCAGTGACATCTCCAGGCGCCTGTTTCCGGGCATGCACAGCCCAAGTGCCGCGTGCTGAAGGGAGTTGTCTTGTAGCTACAGTGACGGGATGGAGCTCACGACTCAGGGCTGTGATCGCAGCAGCAGCCCCTCGCCCGGTCGAAAGCATTACCTCGCCCCTATTCAATGACTCGGTGTCCTTTCCTGGGTGTAGGACGGCATTCTTGATTGGGGCTATACTTGGCAGTACGTCATGTATACGAAATGTGTAGGTGCCGGGCGCAGTAGGCTCCGAAGCAGCAGTAGTGATTTTTTGGATGGCAGGGGCTGTATCGTTGTAAAGATCATCTTCCATATCTTCCATATCCTCTTCATCAGACATGTCCTCGTCCGTGTCGACATTTGCGTTGGACTGCTTTCGTCGCAGGTGGCTTGCTGTGCTAGTCCAGCCCAGCATGACCGAGTCTCCGTCCTCGCTTCCAACAAAGAGGCGACCCCGTCCGAGGTTGCTGGTGCAGGAGGCGGCGGCTTTGATGAGGTGGCCGCCATGGTCTGCCGCAACGGGGTGGACTGTCATGCCCGATACAGTGCGGCCGTCAAGCGTAAAAGTAAGGACAAGGAGACGTCCGTTGTTGAGCACGATTAGCACGTCACCCGTCTCATGAGACAAAAGCTCAACACTGCAGCCCTCGAGGCGCAAAGCCAGGTCTGACTGGTCGCTGAGAGGAAATGAAGTGCAGGCTTTGGCGAATTCATTCACAGCCACACCATTTGTCTTGCCACCCTGGTCGACATGTATAATCTCATTCGATCCCACTAGGAGAGCACCGCCAATGGGTGAAGGCAACGGAACCACCCTGGTGATGTCGTACGGCAGTCCGGAGACGGACAGGAGCGTAGTCGAGGCTTTTTGCTCGAGATCAAGCGTAAAGACGGAGTATGTAAGAATGTCTTTTCGGTGGGCGAGCAAGGATGGGGCCGTGTCTCGAGAGGCGGCGACGATGCCAAACGTGGGTTCGCGGTATTCGTGCAGAAAGGCGAGGTGGACGGGATGTGTAAGGGTGGGGTCGAGGTTTGTGAGCGGCAGGACAAAAGATGAAGTATAAGGCGTTGTATGAGAGCCAGATGCAGTTTGCTGCTCAGGCTTGGACTCTTTAGGCCCATCAGCATCCGAATCGTAGTCATCGTCGACAAGATCACGCTGGCGAAAGGGAAGAATGGCGAGGTTGTGAGAGCCAAACTTGAGGGCAGCACATCTGCTGCTGGGGTCTGCCGTCAAAAAATTATACGTGTCTTTGAGATCAGCGGACCAAGGAGCAATGCCGGGCAAGTCTGGATTCTCATAGTAGTGTATTGATATTGTATGGAGGTTGTACGACTCGGGATCCCACTCCACCAGGCTCAGCTTTGCATCCCGAAACGCTACCAGCAGCGCCTCGCCCCTCGACTTTGTACTGAGCGCCTTTACGCGCGCCAGCGACACGACTGTGCCAGCGAGGGGGAACTCGCCGACCAGGACCAGCTTGGCGGTGCTCTCAGTGCGCTGCAAGGGCACATCGGCCGCCTCTGTGTCCAGGTTAGCGGCTGCATTCTCCGCCTCGTCTCCTCCGCCCGGCGTGACCTCAGTCGTGGTTGACTTGAGCTCAAAGACCTGCAGCAATGAGTTCTTTGCGACGACCAGGTTGTTTGCCCTGGCGTGCAGCAGCGGGAGGTGGAGGGCATGGCTGACAGCCGTGGGCGGGGCTATTTCCGTATAGCACTGCATGGCGATGGCTCCGCTCAGAGCAATTTGGGGGGTGGGGTGAAGGTGAGCGGAGCTGGAGGGGACAGCGCCCGCGATGCTTTGTCTTGGTGTTGAGTCGCGTCGTGGAGAGAGAAGTGTGGGTATGCGTGCATGGACGCGGGCCCGATGTGGCTAACGCGTCTGCTAGGCTGCATGCATCATCCCCGCTCTGAGACGCGACAGGGACGTCATGCTGCTGCCGCTGGCTTGTAACAGCACCATGTACCACCACTGTTAGCGGCGCACGCCAAACTACCAGGAAACAGGAAAAAACACCAAAAAGGCGGCCTGAGACCTGCTCTCGCTTTTCTTTTCTGCCTCGCTTTTCCTAATTTCGTTTCCGCGACATCCATCATGGCTCTCATCCAGACGAGCCTCATCTGGGTGGCCTACGCCGTCGCCGTGGGCCTCCTCTTCCTGATCGCGTCCACCTTCGTCTACGTCTATCAGAAGCCGCGCGATCGCGCTGCCGCTGTCACCATTGTCTGCATCTTCACCACGCTTGCCCTGCTGGCCACGGTCCTGCTGATCCCCGTTGACGTCGCTCTCGTCTCGTCCACATCCCGCTCTAGCCTAGGCCGCAAGAAGGACTGGGCTACGCCAGACAAGGTCGACAGCATCCTCTACACCCTGCGCATCGTCTACTACTCGCTCTACTCACTTGATGCTGTTCTCTGCCTGCTCGTCATTCCTTTTACCTACTTCTGGTATGAGGAATACGACGAGGATGCCGCTGAGCACGGAGAGCAGACTGCCGGCCAGCGCATTGGCGGCGCCATCAAGTGGACACTCGGTTTCCTTGTCTTTGTCGTCGCCATCTTCCTCGTAGGATTCTTCGTGCCCTTTGCAAAGCAGGCCAAGGACGACAAGCGTCTTGATCTCGACTACTTCAAGCACCTGCTGTCTGAGAACCGTAAGCACAGCCAAGGCGCACTTCAGACACAAGCTAACAGCCCTCCAGATGGCGAACGCGCTCTATCCTTTGGGCTCGGCCTGCTCATCACAGTCGGAACCGTGCTCTATGTCCTTTATACTGGCGCTGGCATGGCACTACTGCCTGTTGCCATGATCAAATCGGCACCTTCCATCTCGGCCCCCACCCTTGCCGCGAACACTGCCTCTCAACTCGAGTCCAACCGTGAGCGCCAGAGGCAGCTTGAAGGCCGGAGTCAAGGCCGCGAGGGCGGATTGGATAGCCGGGATAGGCGCGAGCTAGAGGCCCTTGTTCGCGAGGAGCGCACTCTGATCCGCCGCGAACGTCTGGCAGCCGAGTCCAGTGGTGAGGACCGCCATTGGATCGTCAAAGCCTGGATCAGGACAGAAGCCTTTTTCCGCCCGCTCAAGCTTCTCGGCGGCCTCATCCTCCTCGTCTTTGCCCTTGTCATTTTCGCTAGTATGCTCATCACTGGCATTGACAAGGCCAAGAACTCCATCTGCGGTGCTCACTGCGGATACATTCTCGGCCACATCAACATCTTCCAGCCTCTCAATTGGATCCTGGTCAAGTCTTCCAAAGTCTTCCCTATCGACTATGTTCTGTTCCTGCTCCTTGTCCTCTTCTTCTTCTCCGCCTCTGTTGTCGGAATCGCTACGGTCGGCATCCGCTTCCTCTGGATCACCATTTTCAAGATTCGCAAGGGCCATACTTCGCCTCAAGCTCTCCTCATGGCCACTGTACTCCTTACGCTTATTGTTCTCGCCATCAACTACTCAGTCGCCATGGTCGTTGCTCCTCAGTACGCCACCTGGGGTCCTCAAACCTACTGCGACATGAAGACCAACAGCCTTGACGAGCAACCCGACTGCACTGAGCACAAGGATCTTATCAAGCCCTGCAGCGAACTTGCTACCAACCCCTCAGCCCAGCAAGTCTGCACGCCCTCTGTCCTCAGCACCTTTATCAACCGCGTCACAATCAACTTCCCCTTCTTCGGCGTCGTGCTCTTCTGGGCCCAATTCGCCTTCTTGGGCATCTACCTTATTGTCTTCGTCACCACACTATTCAGGGCACCCACTCTCGACCAGGAGCAAATCGATCGCGATCTCGAGGAGGAAGAGGAGGAGGGTCTGCTTGCGAGCACCGGCCGTAGGTTCGGCGCTGCATGGGGCGATGCTACTGGTCGCGCTAGCAAACCTACAACCGCATATGGTGCTACCAGCGCGAGGAATGAGGAAAATTAGTTTACACCCATGGCTTTCTCTTTGGTATGCCTCTGAGTAAGGCAGTAAAATTGTTTTCTTTTTTCTTTTCTTTTTTTATGCCTTGTATTCTAGTACAGCGCTGGAGGCTTACATGTCTTCTTTCCATCCCTTTATGTATTTGTTATCCTAGTTCCTACTCGCTTTGTATTTCTGCATCTTCACTGTTTTCTTCTTCTTCTTCCCAAGTCGCTGATTAGCTCTCACGCGAGTCAAATGAAACAAAAAAAAATTAAGTTCCTAGCGTAGCAATGGGTTAGGATCAAATTATGCCAAATCTAAAACATTTTCAATTCATTGACATATAAAGTTGATATATCTTGGTACTCTTCAATCTTTTTTTTTTACATTGTAAATTCGTCATCTGCAACATGCTCCATTGTTCCCTTTGCAACATCATTTCTATATCGTCTATACAGACAGATTCATAACCCCCTCCCCCCTTGGCTCTCTAAACCAACCAACCAATCGACCATCCCTCCAGGTGCGCCGCGGATCTTTGCGTGGAAGAGGTCGAGCCATGCGTCCTCTTCGACCTTCCATGGCTTTTTCTTTTGCTATGTGTGGCGTGTTGCTGGGCGACTGGACTTTTGCTCTCAAACATCTGTTGGATTCCTACGTTTCACCACTGAAGTCTTTATATAAGATTTTTTTTTACGTTGTTTAGAAGTGGCGTTGTAGGATGGTAGTAGGATATGATGTGTCTTTCTCTTTCCATGAGCAGACTTCTCTTTTTTTTTGTCGTGTTAGATAGAGTATGGATATGTGAACATGTCCGCATGATATAGAACATCATGTAAGTCTTGCAGTTGGCTGTTTTTTGCCCAACAGGAGTGGAGGAAGGGGACTGCTGGGACAAACGTGCAACCCTCGATATTCCTTGTTCGCAGGGAAGATTGTCCAGATGCGCTTATCGGTTGTATCGAATAGTGTTGGACGAATTACTCGATTGTATATATCTTGTTTTTGGAATGGCACTGTTCAGACACGATATCGGTGTGCTTTCGTGGGTCCGTGTTTTGTTAGGTGTGTTGGGCTGAAGTGTCGAGTATACGAGGCCCGGATGATAAAGTACCCGCATCCGTATTCGTATCGGCGGAGATAAAATTCCCGATGGCTTCCCCGGGTTCGGGATAGAGAGACATCAGACGGGAAGGTGGTTCATCCCTCGTCACCGTCGTCCATGATGTCGTCATCGACGTTCTCCTCTCCATCCATAGAACCGTCCTCCTCTTCTCCATCTTCATCTTCTTCTTCTCCATTTTGCCGTCCCTGAACCCACGTCTGCTCGTCCTTTTCCCCGCCCTTAAAAAACAACACAACTCCAGTCTCCACCGCGCGCTTGGCTGCATCGCTGAGCCGCTGCGAAGTACGGACTTGGCATTTCCGTATATATTGGAAATACACCGATACCTCCAACCCCCTCGCTTTCACAGCATCTCGCGTCGAGGTGATAAGCGCGACATGCCCCGCCGCCTCATCCGCCTCCTTCTCTCTCACAATCGTGCTAAACGCCTCCAACCGCGGGGGCAGCAGCGCTAATAACTCCCCCTCACCCGCGGTATCAACATTTACGAATATCTTGAGAGGGCAAGCCATGCTGTGCAAACAGTCAAAATTGCTAAGCGAACCCAAGACGCCAAAGTCGTGGCCTTCGGGGTAGACCGTCTTGACGATTTCGGCGTCCGAAGCGTCGGAGAGCGAGAGACGTTCGAGACAGGTACGGTGGTGCTGTAGTGCGGTACCTAGCTGGCTCCAGGAGTGTTCTGGGAAAATGGATAGCGGGTTGGAGTCTGCAGCGAAGGGCTCCCAAGGGGCGGTGTGGAAGTTGTATTCGAAATGCTCTAGGGAGTGAATGGAGGTTACGAGGTGAGATAAGGCGGTGATGTCGAGCATTGCGCGGTGTAAGAAGAGTTCTTTGATGGGGCTTGTGGAAGGCGATATAGGCCAGGATTTGAAGGGCGTTGTTTGATGGAAGCCATCTAGTTGGAGGTGAAGGAGTGAGGGAAGGCGGAAGAGGCTGGACAGGGATTCGATTGGGAAATTCCTTGACGCCAGACGCCTGGCTTTGATGCAGAGGTGGGTTAGTTTTGAGAACCGGTTGCGGGGCTCGAGTGATGGAGCAATGGCTTGGTTGAACAATCTTAGCCAACCCGCTGTTGTAGTCCTTGTGCTTGCTAGCTCGTCGTTGTCGTCGGTTTTGGCGAGATCGACCCCCAGCGTTATCCAGCGAATGTCGTGTCCGTTCTTGAGGACACAGAGGAAAGCTTCTCTCTCAGATTTTTTGTCTTCAGAATCTGTAAAAGCATATACCAGCATCCGCACATTTCTAGCCAATGCGGGCCAGCGGGAGATCGCATACGCGTCCCCATGATGCGGTCGAACACCCCCCACAGTTCCGTATAGCAGCTCTTGAGAAATACGCTTACAGCGCCTGTTTACCCGGCAGAGTCTTGCCAAATCATCCTTTTGGTCTTTCAAATGCTGCAAGATGTAGAGGAGAAGCTCTTCTGGTAGACGGCTAAGGCTGGCTTGCAGTTCTCTGGCTGTAGAAGCCCCTTCTGGATTTTCAGGGGGTTCGTGGTCGTCTTTTGTGGTCGCTAAAATAGATTGTGCGAAGTCCGACGGGATGTTTTTGCTCGATACGGCAGACTTGCCCTTTTGCAACTCACCCGCAACATGAGTCCTTCTCATTGCGAAATTGGCGAATTCTCCAAGTTCGTGTATGTGTTAAAGAAAAAACTTTGAATATATAGAAAAATTTCCCACTGCCGATTCAATTAGGGCCGTCGTGGTGAAACCAAGCATAAGAACCATGTTGTTGCGAATTCCAACCAGTGGAGTATTAGGCTGACGACGTTCCCTCACCGGACCGATTGCTTCCTTCACGGTGAAACCCATTGGCGCCCAGCTGGCTGGTCAGGTGTCCTGCCCCTGGAGTCAGTCGACCAGCAAGTCGTGTGAAAGTGACCGGATATGATTTTTTCTGCGTAGGCGGCCACGTTGCATCATTGGTGAGCTCCAACGGTAGAGCTGATTTCGGCATCCCGATGGCTGATATTCATTCGGGTGTGCGGGAAACGTGTGGTGAAGTGAACGTGTTGTTGGTTGTGTGAACGCGGAAGGGACGATGATCTCGCGACTCACCGCCCACCAGTGCGTTTGAACGCATGCTGCGTAGGTGAGAGGAGCGAATGGATGCGCATGCGGTATACGGCATCTGCCAAAAGCGTGAGTTGGGTTAGTAGATATGATGTGAAAGAGCTCTGTCGTGTGACTGGCAACCAATGGTAGCAAACCAATACTGAGAGATCCGCAAGCAAACCTTTGACAAGTAGATGGTGGTTTGCTACTCGCACAAACGACGCCTGTTTGTACCCGATGGCCGGTGAGAAGAGCGCCAAACTTGCTGCTTCTGTTGACATGTACATGCGTGCGAATGGCGAGATGCTTACGTGCCGTGCTTGAGCCGTGGTTGTGCCAAGTGTCAGCACGGCAATGCGGGATACAGCCGGCAGTCTTGTCTTGATGGATGTCATATTCTTATTTTGTCTTCTCTGTTGGCTCTACTGCTGTGTCTTTGTCTTCTTTTTCGAGGCTCTAGTGTACAGACGTTCAAGTTTCGCCAGGGGTAGCATGTACGTACAAGTACAACATCATTTGCACGAGATCGGGTTGACTACTACTTAAAATACTGCATTCAATGCCGCGGCGCTAAACCACTGGCCTTCTCGAACGGCCGTAGAAACATATTGTCTCTGTATAGATGCGCAAGCCTTTTGACGATACCTTGGGCTCCTTCCTTACTGACGGAATACACAGGCCGCGGGAACGTCTGCAAGCGCATGCCAATGCTCAACGCCGAGAGACTGCAGTTCGCACATTCCAGTTCTGTATCTTCACTCCATCGCGTTATCTTCCCCCAACCGGGTTTCGGCTGCTTCCATCCCAGCACTTGGTAATGACCTCAATGCCGAGCGACTCGAAAAAACTCTTGGACGGCGGGCTAGTGCGATGCTCTCGAGTCAGGTGTGCCAAACTTCCGAGAGACCGAAGCTCCGAGCCAGCGCGCGCGCACTACTACTATACTACACAGTGTGACAGTACATCTGGGGTATAATCACCTTCCCCAAAGGTCCTCTTTCCCCTGTGGCGCTCATGGCTGGCGTTGCTCGTAACACTGGCCAAGGCCGAATGGCAAGCTGAACCCAGACGGACTCTGTGCCGGGCAGTCCAGCAAACGCGCTCCGAGCGAGATTCGGGTTCGCCGTAGGGTAAGACTTACGTAGTACTTCTCCAAGTTGTTTTTTCTGCTTGGCGAAACACGGTCCAGTTAGAGCCTCGACGAAACACCTTCTGGAAAGAGTTAGCATCGCTTCGGGACGGCTACATGAACGTGCATCAGTAGGACCACAGCAGAACCCCTGCCATATTATCGCAGGATAACAGTCACGTGACCAGTTTCCACCTTCCGCATAGAGCATGATTGCCAAATTATGCCCAGACTGACATCAATTTACCAAGACATTAACATAGTATGGCGGTTGAATTGTGGCAATGCTGTGGGCGGGCTCATAGGAGTATTGCAAGGCAATCTATGGGCACCAGGCTTTTATATATACCCATAGAGTCCTAGGTAGAAAACTTGCTCATTCCAGCTCAATTGCACTCCACACACTCGCAAAGTAGCCAATATGAAGTTCTCAGTTGCTGCATTAGCGCTTCCTGTTGCGGTCCAGGCTGCCTTCTTCTCCAAGTCCGAGTATGCCTCTGGACAGGTTCATCAGAAGTTGATGAAGCTGAAGAGTGTATGTTTTCTATGGACTGCTTTTTTATTGTTTTCTGTTTTCTAACTTGTGTCACAGGATCAATGGGAGCGCGATGTGGCCGAGGGCAAGCAGGATCCCACTCAGTGGGACTCCTTCTCTACCTTGAAGAAGGGAGCATGGGCACCGGGCAAGAACGACACGCGCATCCCTTGCAAAGATGGCCTCGCCATCGCTGAGCCAGGAAACGCGAACCAGACCTACCGCTGCAAGAACGTTAGTAGCCCTGCAACTCGATTAGCCAAGCAATGCTTGTACTGACATGGAACTAGATGGATCTCTACGACTTCATCAGCCACGCCGACATGGGTGGCCCAGAAGGCCGAGGATCCTCTTCCTGGGGCTGGACTGCCGCCAACGGCCGCGAGTTTGGCATCGTCGGCCAGTTCTCTGGCGCCGCCTTTGTCGAGGTCCTCAAGAACGGTCAGATGGTCTACCTTGGCCGTCTCCCCGCTCAGAGCGAGGGTTCTCGATGGCGCGAAATCCGTGTTCTGAACGACTGGGTCATTATCGGCTCTGAGGCTGTCGGCCACAACGTTCAGAGTAAGTTTACAAATTATTCATTCTACATACATGACATATGACTAACACGTGACAATAGTCTTCGACATGAAGAAGCTCCTGACCGTGGACCCCGCCTCCCCCAAGACCTTCGACCCCAAAACCGACCTCGTCGGCCTCTTCTCCGACCTCCCCATCGGCCGCACGCACAATGTCGTCGTAGACTGGGACCACGACTCCATCCTCGCCGTCGGTGCCCAGCCCCGCAACGAGACCTGCAAGTCCGGCCTCAAGTACATCGACCTCTCCAACCCCAGCAAGCCCACCTCCCCGGGATGTGCAAGCAGCGACGGCTACGTACATGATGCCCAATGCGTAAAGTACAACGGCCCGGACCGCAGCTTCCGCGGCCGCAACATCTGCATAGGCTACAACGAAGATACGATTACCGTGTATGATTCGACGTTCAAGAACGGAAACCCAGCCTCTGAAATCCTATCCACCCTCTCCTACCCCGGCGCCACCTACTGCCACCAGGGCTGGTGGACCGAAAGCAACTGGCACCAGTACGTGCTCGTCAACGACGAGCTCGACGAAGTCGAAGCTGCCGGACCCGGTGCTTCGGGCCGCCCGGTCACCCATATCATCGACCTGACCGACCTCCGTAACCCCAAGGCTACCGGAACGTTCTTTGCGACTGACCACAAGTCTATCGACCACAACTTGTATATTGTGGATGGTCTTGCGTACCAGAGTAACTACGGCGCGGGTCTCTGGGTCCACGACGTCAAGTCTGTGAGCAAGGATCCTACGGGCAAGGGCGTTACGGTCGAGGGCTTCTTTGATATCTACCCTGAGAATGATGCGGCTGGCGGTAGCGTTGAGTTTGTGGGTACTTGGTCGCACTTTTTGTTCCCGTCGGGATATGTGCTCGTCAGTAAGTTTTATCCTGGACTCATATATTTCAAAAAGGCATCGAATACTAACTGTGGTTGCAGATACCATCGAGCGCGGCGCTTTCACCGTCAAGCTTAACAAGGGCCGAGGTGCCAGGCGCGGTCGCGGCCACGGCGGCAAGTCCCGGTAAACGACTTAACACTGTAATGAGTAGGGGGTCGAGCGGTATCCAGCTCAGTCTTTTCTCCCTTGATCGAAAAAAAAATCGAAGAGTTGATACTATGACATCACGCTTCTTTCTAATGTTTCATGTATATACCATATACCCCTTATTCCCAGAAACACATATCAATCACCCTCGAAACCTCCCTTTTTTTCGAAAATCCCTCCCTTTCTTGTTTTCCAGTGAGGAGAAAAAAAATGAACGTGCACCAACGAGTAAGATGCTGCCACAACAAACGCCCCCGCCCCCCAGAACCACGTGTACGTATATACCGTACAAACCTAGCGATCATCAATAAAAAAAACCCGCAACAACCGAGAATCTCTCGTCAGTTTGCATATGCATACATCCAAGACTAGACTCTCTTTGCCCACCCCAAAAAAAGGTTAGCTGATCTAACCCGCTTCTGGAGAAGGGGGAGGAGGAGGAGGGTGTGTATGTGCTGTGAAATACTACGAGTAACACATCATTGCCTAGTCCGGTAACTTGACTAACTTAACTACGCAAAGAAAAAAAAAAGAAGAAGATTAGACTTTGGTGTAGCGTGTATATATGCATGCGCCACCCCTTCTTCCTCTTCCTCTTCTTCTTCTTCGTCTTCTTCTTCGTCTTCTCATGCAAGGGGTTCGAGAAAAGGTAAAAAAAAAAAAAAAAAAAAAAAAAAAAAGAAGGCGATGTTGTTGTACAAAAGTAAGTCACATGTAGACTGGGCATTTCGCAGCCGGTATCGGGGGAGAGGGGAATGGGGAAGGGGGAAGGGGGTTTCCTCTTGCATGGCGTTATCGTCTTAATTAGGTACAGAATTGGGGTTGTTGTTGTTGTTGTCGTTGTTACTGGAATGGGTGTGTGTGATGAGGAAATCGTGTTATGCCTGAGTGGCAATTTCCCCCCGGTCCATTCCGATTCGGGAATTTCCTATTTCTGAATAGTATGTTTTTGTATGTATGTATGTGTGTGTATGTGTAAGCTGCTAGGGCAGAAAAGGTGTTCCGCGAGTAGGGGGAGGTTTTTTCTTGCCGAGGTGAATTGGTAAACGACCAACCATGAAGGATTGAGATGATCACCGATAGTTCAAACAAAAGAGAGGAGTTATGTTTTTTTTTTAATTTGTGAAATTTATTTCGGCATGCATTGTTCAAAAAAATGCAGCTGTTTACCAGAAAAGTTACTCGCTAACGACAGATGACCGCCCAACCCCACTTGCTATGCCAAAAAAAGTTGCAAAAGCCAGAAGAAAGAAAGAAAGAAACATGGAAACCGGATTTTCTTTTTGCGCAGACAAAGAAAAAAGCGGTTATCAGCTTTTGACCGATTGGACTCGTAAACAAAAGACGTAAAAAACGAGTTTAAGAGGAAACCTCGCGTTTTTGCTTTTTTAAGCCTTCCAGATTCCAGTTGAAGAGGGAAAAAAAGATAATGAGAAAGGTTTAGAAGAAAAACGCCATTACAAGTTTTGTAATACTAGTAATTCTTCAGCGCCAGGTTCCTATGCAGAAGGAGGGAGGACTGTAAAAGAATATGGTGTTCGTTGAGAGACGTGACGGAATAAACGAAAAGAAAAGCTCCTACAAAGAGTTCTCCGTTTGGACCAGTTCCTCAAAGGCGTCTCGCCACTTGCGGGTTTCCTCCTTGGAAGGCCTGGGCAGAGGCTTGCGAGCGTATCCACCGTAGCCGTAATGAGCCATGAGGCCAGCCTTGGTGCCGATGATGCCGCCTTGAATGGCAGCCCAGTCACCCCTAGCCACGACAGCCTGGAGCTTGCGTGCTTCGGCGAGGTGGCCGGCCTCGAACAGTTCAACTAGCTTGACGCACGTCTTGGGGGCAATGTTGGCCATGCCGCCGATGATGCCGGAGCCACCTCCAATCAGTGTCTGGAGAGTGAAGTCGACGGATCCGCCCATGCACATGAAGCCAGAACCTGGATCGGAGACGGTGGCTGCGCGTGTTGCTGATGCAATGCGGTTGAGCTTTCCGGTGTTGCCGCAGGTCAGCTTACAGCCGACGATGTTGGGATGCTGGGCCAATTCGATGATGACATCCGAGTTGAGATCAAGACCCGAAACAGCACCAGGGTAGTTGTAGATGAGGATGGGGATAGGAGACGCAGTAGCTACATCGTTGAAGAATTCCTTGACAGTGTCCTTGGAAAAGAGGCCCTGGTAGTATGCTGGTGGCAGTACCAGGGCGTAGTCTCCGCCAGCGGAGGCTGCCTCTTCGCAGAGCTCGATGGCCTCGCGAGTAGACTGGGCGCCACAGCCGACAATGATGGGCATGTAACCAAAACCTGCGTCGTCGAGAGCCTTGCGGGTAGTGTTTGTGATGAGGTCACGCTCCTTGTGCGACAGGTGGACAGCCTCGCCATTGGATCCTTGGGTGGTGATGCCAGCAACACCAGCCTTTGCCAGACGGACTGCGTGGCTAGCTACCGTTTCGACATCTACATTGTCCGTAGCTGGGTCGAAGAATGCTACGGTGGGAACGTAGATGCCAGGGACCAGCGCCCGCCGGATACCAACGTCAGCAGAAGTCATTGAGTTGGAGTCGATGTCGTTGTAGCGGTCAGCCAGGTAGACAGATTGCACAGGATGGTGGAAATCCGAATCTTGAGTGAAGCTGTTGGCAGGAGAAGGGGCGTCGTGGTGTGGTGACATGATATATCTTTTTTGAGGGTGTGTGGAGAAGAAAGTAGGCTTATATACTAGCAAAGGCTTGTAAAGAGAAGCGAGACTTTTGGGAAAGAACTAGCGGTACGCTGAAAGGAAAAAATGGGACGAATACGTCAATGGTGGATGGATGTTTGGTCAAGAAGTCAGATAGCGCAGGTACTTAAATGTTTGCAAACGCCGGACCTGGCCTGGCACACTCCCAAGGGCAACGACGAGCGTGGGGGTCCAGCTGACGGCTTTGTCAGGAGAGCTAGCTCGTGCAGGCATTTCAGGGTAACGAGTAACGAGCGTGTCCGAGAGGGATGAGCCGGCACTTGGGGGTGAAGGGCAAAGGGGCGGTGACAAGCGTAGCCTGTCCGAGGCAGTCATGACCTGCACGTAGCCGATGCCAGGCACCGCTGGCTGGGCTTAGTTTGCTGGGTGGCTTGAACGGGTCCAATGAAGACAGGGCGTCTTACTGATTGAAGCGGCGTTTGTTTCTTTTCGCTCGTGCAGCAACAGGAGGGCAGGGGTGGGGAGGCTGTGACGGTCGGATCGTGGCCGGATGGGAGAGAAAGGCCAAGGGCAAGGGCCAGGGCAAGGGGGAGCAGCGCCTTGTGACGATCTCTGAGGGTCCATTGGGGTCTGGTGATAGGCTGGGGGGGCGCCACTGCTGGCCCCATGCGAAGGGTTGGCGGAATCAAAGGAGCGTTGATGGATACCGTTCGGGCGTGGTAGTGTGGGGGTGGGGGAATCGTGGCCGTCCGGTGTACTGTGCGAATGGGTGCGGCGCGTGTCCTTGTCCTCCTCACACCATCTGGTGATGCTCATCCCCCAGGCCCAGTCGCCCCAGCCGCCGCTAGAGTTCGGCGGGTCTTTTTGCTCCGAGTGCAGCAGAGCAGATGCAAAGGCCAAGGGAGACGAAGGATTTTCCAGCAACGCTGCAAGACGTGGCAGGCCGTGTGAAGCAGGCTCCTGTCACCAGACCATGCGGCACCAGGCCGGCCGCCGTAATCCCCATGCGACCATGACATGGCCTCGAAACCTGCCGAAAAATAGTGGAGGCACACACATACGTACGTGTGTATCAAACATGTGCCTCGTTGTTGCAGAGCCTGGCCAAGATGATGACGATCGATTGGAGTCGGGAGAACCCCCACGCCCATTACTCTTGGTGGCGGGGGGGGCCCAGGCCCGAGCGTCTTTCCTCTGAGCCTCTCCAACAACACCTTTCCACGCAGTAGATTCGCCCGCCAGCACCGCTAGGTCCATGTACTACCAGCAGCATTGAATCGTGTACCTAGCCATCTAGGCCAATTGTGGCAGCAAACGTGTTTGCACCATGCCAATGCACGCCTATGTCGACATATGAACAAGGGGCAGAGCGCGGGGAAAGGTGCCGAGCATACTACACTACACTCCACTACACTACACTCCACTACACTACACTCCACTACACTACTCGACATGCTCCATCCAGACTTACTTTGGCATCATGACGGCGGTGAGCAGGGTCCGTCGCCATGGCTCTAACCTTGCTTTTTTCCTTGCAATATCGAAACGATACGAGGGGGGTGAGACGCCTCCTCGTGGTACCTGATCCTCCGTCGTGGACCGTGGACCGTGGACCGGTGTATCGCTGGCCCCCCCCCACGCAGCCGCTTACCCCGACAATGGCAATCAACTTCGCCCCAGACAAGTCCGTCTCCGAATCGTCCCGCCAAACTCTGCTGGGTTGGCGATACTGCTCTACGTGTACTCTACGGGCGCAGTTTCTTTGTTCTGCGCATGTCCAGCGAGCGGGAGCATTCATCAACATGCGCGCTGCCACCGACATGTCATGCACCCCGGCGACGCCGTCATGGTGGTACGATGATTGGAAAGTCTATACCTACTGCGTCGCCAGCTGAATGTAAGTATGCTAGCTCTTACCTAGTCTATCTACGTGGTCTCTTGACCCAGAACAAGTCCCAGCAAGTACAAGACCAAGACTGGCAAAACCACCCATGACCAGCCCAGCACCCGCCATCCAGAAAGCAAAAAATACACAGCCTCGCTCGGAGCGCCAACCGAGCCCCGAGGCCTGGAGCGATGCGATGCAGCCAGCAAAGACCGACGCTATTACCCCACATTTTGGCGATCCTGGTTCCCCGCCTTCTTACCACGTTCGAACACTCGCCGCACACGTTGAACTCGCCGCCGCACCAGCCTTCTGACTCGCATACCCTCCCCAAGCTTTCCATGCCATTGCTCTTGTCCTCGTGTACCGCCATTCCATGCATTGACGCCCCGGGATATGCATGTCACCCCGGGAATGGCCGTCTTGGATGCTGCCCAAGTCCCGTTATCGTGTGCTGGACAAAAGCCATCACGAGACACCTTTGAACTGCACTACTTTGCTTCTTTCTTCACCGCAAACACTATATTCTACCAACCGACACCTTCAATTGCCATGAGCAAGCAGCACATCAAAAAGTCACCGCTCTCTACCCAACAACAGCCCATCTCACGCCGGAAATAGCGATAAAGAGGGGTGAGGATAAGGGTCAGGCATCACCTTGGATCATGCGGGGCACATGCAACCCTGCGAAGCCAGACCGTTGTCCATGTCCACATCCATCGGCGAACTGCCCAGCCGACGGCATTCGCACATGCTTTTGCGGAAAACATTTCTGACACTCGTCACCATGACATGGTCTCGTTTCCACATGTCATGGGCGTCCACACACACACCGATACTGCCTTTGTACATACTGCAAGCCTAAGCGACAGAGAACAAGCACAGATATCCCAAGCGCACACGCCCGTCGCAAACTCGGTCTGGCCTCGGCCGGCAACGCCAGCTACAGTTGGGAGTACTGGTGTCCACGTCTTCGCCCCCCCTTTTTTGCTTTACCTGTAGTTTGTCGATCATTTGTCATGGCTGTTCGTGGGGGTCAATTGCCATTCAACGTCTGCATTAGGGAGAACGGCAGTTGTGGCCGCTACTTGTTTGCCACCCCAATTCCGTTTAGCAGAGAGCCTCAACATATCGCAGCCAAGCTGATCGGACGGGATCTTCTCCACTGTCTCGGCGTGGGATGTCGCCTATACCCACGCTCTTCCTCCCAACCTCAGGCTCGGGTAATCTCTATCCGTCTGTTGTTGCCTCTCCCAACAATTCAATCGTAAAACGCAGTTGGGGCTGAATGATATTGCTGACACGGTCAATGGCTGTCCCATTGCTGAGAACGTCGTATTGACATCTGGGCCTTGCAGATCGCTGAACAGGTGATATGCTATAGGATGGATTGACATTACGATGGGCAGCCTGAGCAGGGGTCAAAATTGGAGACAAACAAACCCATGCAACAATTGGCTGGTGTCTTTCGAGGTTGAAACCACTGCTTTCCACGCCTTTCGACAACTATGCGAATTCGCATGGGATAGGCCCATTATAATCTTGAATGCTACAATTTCTCTCCACGGATGTCGGAATAGGCAGTTGCCGGACAGCCCTGATAAGTACAAAGATCAAGTGCTAGCATTTCCAAATGCATTCCTACAGACTAAGACTTGACGTCTAGCCACAGACAGTCGATACACGCTAGAGTCAAGATTTTTCACAAACCCACCCGTGCAAGCGAGTATCTGCAAGGATCCTACATCTGGTCAAGCCTTCCACTCCATCGACCCATGACAAACCAAAAACACCATGTCTATCCTAGTTATTTGCTGAGCAGCGCTTGCGCGTAAGCCACAAATTCATATCAATACTCAAATATGGCGGCAAATCCGGAGTGTAGTCGTATCGGGCCATACTGGTGCCATCGGCGTCAGTGGCTGCGCGTATATGGCGCATGTCTGCGGTCTGCGCCAAGTATAGCACATGCGCATCATAGATCCTCAACAGATCGTATAGTCTTACCCCATTACGAAGTATTATCATGCATACCTGCGAGCACGGGAATACTTCTCGATCTTGCCCGACAGCCTATGTGTCTACAAAAAAGGCATTGTCGGTTTGGAGGAAGTTATCCGCGCTTGACGGATATAGTTCGGGTAAGGCGGAAACAATACATTCAATGCAACCGGGCAACATACTATCAATTTACTTCAATTTATCTCGAGTAAGCACACTGTTTCTCAGCAGTCGTCCAGCTCGCGTCTGCATTCAGCACAATTCCGTATCACAACTATCCTTCTTCCAGTATCTCGACACGAACACGCCAAACCAAGTTTTGAAGACCTCCACATGTCAAAAAACTCTTCCAGTCTGGGGTTCTAGTCGCATGCCCCTCGCAAGACCCTTGCGCTCAGCCGTGTAGTAGTACATGTAATGTGCACATGTTACCAAACCTCGGTCCGAAAAGACATTGCAGATCTTCCACCAATCTCGCTCTCCACTATTACAAACCAACCAGCTCGGCAAAGCACATTGCTTCTCTGAACGGTATGCACTTCCCCAGCTCTTGGCAACCACCGTTTACGTCCAAGTACATACATGACATGTCGCTGTTTATTTGGTTCACTGATAGTAAATTGCGGCAAATGCGAAAACGCCAGTGAGCTAGACGATTGTACTAGAAATGACATGTGCGAGAACTTGGTTTGTGAGTATCTCGTATTGAAGTTGCAGGATGCATTGCCTGATGAAGCAATATTGGACTCGAGGCGTCATGCGCATTGAACATGAACTCACAATCTTGTAGAAATTGTGTTTTGACATCTACGTCATCGAGAGCATTTAGACTCCGAATGAGGCTCTAAATCAGCACTACCCTCTTGGGATAACCTCACTACACTACATTCTTCTCAAATAAATACAACTGCAGTGCTATCATTCATGTACTCTAAAATAACCATCTACGTCCCCAGACTACTATACAAACAATCGAAGCATGCTCACCACTCGCCCGCATCCCCCGTCTCACCCCAACCTACCAAACCACTGTTAACAAAAAGGCCATATTGAAAACGGAAACCATACCCATTGCACCCAACCCTCCAACCATCCTTCGATCCACCACCTATCGTCATCCCACCCGCCACACCGCCACCTCCAATTTCCCATCATCTCCCCCAACCGTACCCCAGAACCCTCGTCAAACCTCACCCCCTTACATGACCTCCCGCCCTTCCCCGTCCCCAGTCTCCAGTTCCCCCCCCCACGCCCTCTCTCTCTCTCTCACTCTCAACCCAACAAGCCAGCGCAACCGTTATTTCCCCCCCTTTTCCTTCGCTCAACCTTGTTTTGCCCAACCTTGTTTCGCTCAACCGTGTTTCATTTCCCCACCCACCCGTCCACCCGCGCTTGACGCAAACGTGGGGGGAGGGGGGGAGGATGTTCCTGTACGGGTATCTCTAAACGGACAGCCGAAGTTAGACCGGGGCATGAGCTTTGCTTCACCGCGTTGAGCAGGATTGCTCCGATCGGGACTTTTTGTTGGTCTTTTTTTTCTTTTTTTCTTCTTCTTCTTCTTCTCTCCTCTTGTGCTTTGGGGAGGTATTGGCAAGGTTGTAAAATGAGGGTTGGTGTCGTTGTCGTCGGAGTTTTAGATATGCAGGTTGCGGACGTCATGTGTTATGCGCGCGCGCGTGGGGGGAGGGGAGGGTTATGGGCCGGATGGCTTTTGGGGTCACGTGGAGTGGGTGGGTATATCTGGAAGGTTAGCCATGTATAGAGCTTTCTTTTTTTTCCAATGAAGGATGTGTTGGTTTGGGTTGGGCTTGGTATGGGGATGATGATGCGTAAAGTGGAGATTGTACATGTCCTTTTTTCGTTTTTATCAGGGTTAAGGAAAAAAAAGGGCGCAAACGACGCGTAAGTAGGCGATGAGGGCGGTCATCGTTGAGGGCGTATGTGTGTATGTGCTGAGTTATTGCCGGGATAGGCGCAGAGCGGGTGAGCGAATCTCTTCATCTGTGTGGTTGCGGGTTACTTCCCGTCTTGTTCCGAGGTAAGCGGCGGATGATGTACTTGGGGTTTTTTTGTGCAAGGTGGTTATGGCTGAGTAAGAGTGTCGGCGCGGAAGTGACGGCCTGTGGTATCGGACCGTCTTGGAGGTTGTTGGTGTGGTGGTTCCTTGTGGGTTGATGGTTTAGGTTGATTGTAGGATTAGTCGGTGTTTCGGACATTACGCTTTCCCGCGTGAGCCAATGGGTATTTTGCTGTTGGATTATTGACTAACTTATCTGTGTGGTGAAGGGCATGTTGTCTTGTTGCAAAACACTCCGCCCCTGTTCCGAAGAAAACATGCGCCGCTGTTAATAGCCTTGGAAACCTATTATACACTTTCACCGCTCAGGTCATCAAGTAGCTTTTGTGCCGTCGGGCTATAGTAATGGTTCTATTAATGTTATCCAACCATTTACAGAATAAACACTCGTGCCTTTGCCAGCAAGTGGCACGCTGTAAAATCCATACACCAAGTCAGCAACTCATCGCTACAGTGTTGCTAGTTCTGCCCTAGAAAACTACCACTATCTCTGTCACGTTAGTTCCAGACTTGGATCACTTCCTTTGTTGAACAAACTTACTCACTTTGACCTTGTCACCCAAACCTACCACCACATTGTGAGAGGGATATATCCGATGCCCATGTGTTTCTGAGAATCTACCCGCAACAAGGCCCTGCCCAGGCCCCTCAAGAATCGCGCGTAATCAGGCTGTCTTTGACTACCACGGTTTTCTCAGCACCTGGCTTTATAGGACGTTCTGGCTGCCATACATTTGGTACTGGCACATCGTTTCGCAGCCCAGCTATCCTGACGTTGCTCCAAACTTTTGTTGCCGGAGTATTTTTAACTTTCGCCCATATGTAAGCCAATCTATCCATACCCCTCAATCGTATTCCAACAACTGTATGCGTTTCCGTTGCGATCCTTGTGTGAGGGCGATCTAGCTCTGTCCACCGCTTGGCGTCGTCTGGGTGTATCGGCTGCAGCGCGATGCTGGTTCGTTGGGCGATGACCGCCTCCTTGATAGCCATGCCCGTCCCAGGCCCTGAGTGTGTTGGAGGAAGAAGGGAATTGGTGACACGACCATCCTCTTCGTGTGCACAGTCTGTCAACTTGAAATGAAGAGCCGAATCGAGACCTATTCTTGCGTCCGGCAGCTGGCCGCCGTCGATGGTACAAGAACGGCCAGACTCGAAAAAGAGCTGGATGGTCGGGAAGAAAGTATTCATGGTCCAGTAGATGATTTCTAGCCCTCATCAGTCTCGTCGTTTCCACATATGGTATTGGTTGTATGTACTTTCGTCGATGAGTTGGTTAGCCAGGACTGTCGCTCCAAACTCGGCTGTGTGCCCCAGATTGATGCTTAGGGGAACAAATCCGCCTTGAATTACGGTTTCCACCGTCGTTGCTGCGGATCCTCTTCGCTCGTCGTCACTTGCCAAAGCCTCGCTGAGCTCGTCCCGGGGTCTCAAGGGCAGCCCAAGCTTGCGCCGATTTACCTCGCGCCATAGATCTTCGATCGGGCATCTGTAATATTCCATATGACAGAGTTACTAGCGGCTTGTATTGGGGTCTTGGTAGAGGGTTGAGGCGCGAGATCTCACGCTGTGCCTCTAGTTGGTAATCGTGGCTATCAACCAGTTAACATGTGATTGTAAACGATAAAAACACTAACTGTGACCCAAATTCGAAGTGAATGAGTATACTCAGGTGCCAGGGTAGTGTTTGTTTTCACGTGCTGCTTACAAAATCAGATACTCTCATTGGGAAGGAGTGGACGTCAAGCGATCCACAGTGAGTGGAAGGGACACCCAAACTTCTCGTCATGTCTTCCACGTCATGACTGCTTGTCAGGCTTGACAGTCTTTGGGCCCAAAGAGAGCTTCTTATCATGCGGATATCACAACCAGCTTGTAGCAAGCAGACTCCTTTTGCCAGCCACTTCGTGAACACCTTTTTTTGGCATCGGCACTGCTTTCGTATGGATGTCCAATTGTATACTTATACAGCTTCTATATATGCCGGTTTTACCTTGAGGACAGATACCTCAGCTGGATCACGAAATCTTCCTTCAATTACATCCCTTTACCTACAATTCACGGTGTGCACGTGCTTCACTCCACTGCCATTGCAAGTTCGAAAGAGATTGCGCTAGAGCCTCACTCGCCCTTGTTCAGTTAGAGATAGGGTATAGTTCCGCAAGAAACCTTGTAGCTATCCGTTAATTTCACGTCATACTGTATGCTAGCCAGGCAAACACTGAGAGGCGCACACTGGGACCCATGCAACTTAGTGAAAAGCAACTAGACGTCTATCATTCACTGACCTGTCACGCGACTGGCTGCCTTTACACATCCCCACTCACATATATATACCTGACACTGTTTCCATCTCTCTGAGCTCACAGTTCCTCTGCTTTTGAATATCAAACGATTAACTCACAATCACTACCCATCACCGGCAAAATGGCACCAACAACGAGGAACGTCCAAAGTTTTTACGACTTCCTCGCACACTCTGCAGGTAGGTACACTCACCAATACAGTAGCGGTTCTTACTGATTACATCTAAGAAATCCGAAACTTCATATACGAGTTTGCCATCGCTGCCGAAACACCGGATACCCCAGAAGGCGACGTATTACTTCGAAAGGCCGACCCAAAGCCATATACGACACGCCCCTGGAAGTTTTTCGGCCTCACGCAGACCTGTAGGCAAATTCGGGCTGAGTTTCGTCCACTATGGATGCGAAACACTTCCATTCGGTTCATGGGACTGGAGGATTCGGTGTCGTTCATCTCAACCTTCATGCCAGCCATTGCTGAGTTCAAGCATGCGCCAGAATGTTTCACCATTGGAACAGCATATAAGGTCGGCCGAGATTCCCTATGTGATATAACACTTCTGTTCCGCATGGACGCATTCTGTCCCTATTTCTGTCTTAGCTTCTCGCCGTTTGAGGTTATCATGGGACGTCCACCTCCAGACGAAAGGATATGCCCTTGCTGCGAAGAGCACTTCAACCCTCACACTGGAGAATGGAGTGGAACAGGCATCGAAGAAGATTGCATATGTATACCTTCAGATGCAGACTTGCAGGACCGGGTGGACTGGGAAGGATTTCGTGACGAAGAGCTGATACATATGGATCCTCTTTTCGAAATCCAAAGCGCCAGCGAGGCTTGGTGGAAAGATCTGCAGGATGACAAGATCTCCATTTACATGACCGCCTCCTTATCCGAAGTTTTGCCAAGGTTCCGCATTGAGTACAAAGCACAGGGGCCCAGGAACGGTAGCAGCCGTCGTCTTGTGAGAGAACTTCTCAGCAGATGGGGTTTACGCGTTCTCATTGAAGACTACGAGAATGTGACATTTGCTGTAAAGTATGGGGAGAGCAGTGAAGAAAAGAGCGGCGACGTAGAGGTGGAGGTGGTGTTTTAACTCACAAAGACTCTGATTGTATAGTTTGGATGTAGACTTATTGAATAGCGGTCTTTTCGATATGATCAAGCAAGCTCATCAGCTTCATCTCCATATAATACAGTAAAAATGGTGTTTAGTAGTTCTTGACATACCAAACGCATGACCGCGCAGGTTACTACACACATTTCATCATGATAAACATATAGAAACAGCGCAATTCAATTCCAATTCTACCAGGCATATCAGTCCCTTAATCTGTACCTTGAATATCTGTGCCACGACTGCTGAAGCACAAAGTTTATGGTGGGATATGTAAATGGTGTGAATGCGAGTCGACATGATTGGCCAAAATGCACCTTGTCGATCGCGCATCACCCGATCACCCCCGGCAGATATCGATGACGCTCTAAAGATGAGATATCCACAAACACGACCCAACGCGGCTAAACAGCATGCTTGCTTTAGCCACAATGACGCCTACTTTCTTGTCAAGCCAGCAGATGTGGCTGCCAGGTGTCAGAGGCTCGCGATGCTTACTCTCAACCACAGTCGCGCTTCACGTCCGTTAGCATCATACATCACCGTATGCTGTGACTATCATGCCTATACAAGATGAGCGCGCACCGCTATTGCAGCAGAGTTATAGCGAAGAGGGACAGCCTTGTACGGTATGTCATCTTCTCACGCGTTTTCCATCCCGAAAAATGAACCATTTGCTGATTCGCGATAGCATCTACGCATCGAGGACTTACCCAGCGAGGAAAACCCACGAGAATGGACCAAAGGCCGGAAAATGGCAAATGTGGCTGTCATAGCCCTCATGTCAAGTACACACACCCAGACAGCCTCTCGCTATATTACATGATTCGCTAACAAACACATGCAGTTCTCAGCCCCCTGGTCTCATCCATGTTTACGCCGGGTATCGCGCAAATCGCCAAAGACCTCAACTGCTCGACAACCGCTGTTATCGGAACAACGACCGGCTTCGTAGTTATGCTAGGCATCGGACCCTTGATTCTCGCGCCTCTATCCGAGACGTTTGGCCGGAGGAAAATCTATCTCACATGCTTCTCCATCTTCACGCTCCTCCAGATCCCTGCCGCACTCGCACCCAACATCGCCTTCTTGATCACAGTACGAAGCATCGCCGGTTTCTTCGGTAGCGTAGCCATCGCAAATGGTGGCGGTACCATAAGCGATATGTTTCTGCCCAACGAAAGAGCTGGTGTGTTTGGCTGGTATCTCCTTGGTCCACTGCTAGGTCCCACCCTCGGACCTCTATTCGGAGGGCTCATCGTCCAGCGACTTGGCTGGAGATGGGTCTTCTGGATCATGGCTATCGTCTGCTTCATCAACACGCTCGCTGGATACTTTTTTCTGCGCGAAACGTACGCGCCCGCGATTCTGAGTGGCAAGAAGGCTGAGTTTGAGGCTCAAACGGCTGAATGGGATGACACAAAGTACTCGTATGAAGGCGAGGATGCGCGACCGCTCCGGGAGAAGATTGTGCAGGCACTGAAGCGTCCCCCGAAGATTTTTGCGCAACCCATAGTTGCTGTCATGGCAGTATATCAAGCTCTCATCTTTGGTACTACGTACAGCATCTACACGAATATGCAGCCCATCTACGAAGATGACTACAGGTTTTCGACTGAGCAAGTCGGACTGCTTTATCTCGGACTAGGCTGTGGCTTTTTGTTTGCAGTATGGTTTCTCGTCCCACGCATCGACACGTTGTACAAGTCACTCACAGCTAAAAACCACGAGAAAGCTCGACCTGAATTCCGTCTGCCGTTAGCTAACATTGGATCCGTATTTATCCCCATGTCTCTCTTTTGGTTCGCTTGGGCTGTCGAGAAGCACATGCACTGGCTTGTCTCTATCGCCGCTACTTTCTTCTATGGCATCGGACAGGTTATGATTATCAACAGCACGCAAAACTACTTTATCGACAGCTTCGAAAAGTACGCTGCAAGCGCAATAGCAGCTGGTACTGTTTTTCGCAGTGTATTTGGTGGCATTATTCCTATCCTTGCACCCGCACTGTTCGAAAATTTGGGTTATGGTTGGGGTATCAGTACATTTGCATTCGTAACCTTATTCCTTGCACCCGCTCCGATCTTGTTCTATATTTTTGGGGAGCGGCTAAGAGATCGTTTTCCCGTAAGTTTGTAGACATTAGAATGTATGTGATAATAGCTTGAGTGGAATTTCTAAGTTTGTTGAACGCAATCAAAGTACACGAATCTGTTCCCGTCCAGTGCTCCAGGACTTTTTTTCAGACCACTTCAAAAGCATCCATGTCCCCAGTAGGCAGGTCGGGTACGCCCACTGCACGCCTTGCTGCATCAATCATAGCTTCCACAACCTCAGGCGGATAGTTCCTCTTAAGCATCACTCTCACATACTCGCTCAGCAGGTTCAGTCCCACGTCCCCAATCTGTTCCTCAGTCAATTTCTCATACTCTCCTTCCTTTAGATCCATCCTAGCCAACCGCTGCTCCAAAAGGATATCGTATACTCTCACAACACGTTCCATATTCTTCTTATTGGAGCGACTGTGGAAATATTGACTACGAACAGATTCTGACTCGCGCGCCATGTCTACCCAAGCCATTTGTTTTTGCAAGATCTGGGCTGCTTTGTTGGTTGGAAATATGGAAAAGTGGTGGCGAAGGACATGCAGAGCAATGAGCGAGCCAGCGAGGTCCTGAGTGTAGCCGAAACAGTGCATGATAAGTGACGTTATCGCTCCCTTGTCGGCGCCTGCGATTCCCATTCTGAAACGATCAGCGTCGTAGCGACTGCGACTTAGGGTTCGCCAGGATATCGTCTCTTTCAATAGCTCGCGAGGCGTGGGCAGTGCAGGATCATTCCGGGTAGCGTGGTCTCCAAGTGCTAGACGAAGCGTTTTCCAAAGACAGCGAAGGCTTGCACCGTTTGGGTAAACGCCTTTACTGCCTTCTTGTGGGTTGGTAAGGGCTTTGTAGACCATCCAGGCTTCACTATAAGCACCCTGACGACATTTGTTATCCATGATGACATTCATGATTGTGGCATTCGGCTCAACAGTCGTCTCCTTAAGCTGGCGGGTCAGGTACTCAACATGTTCCCATTGCAAGCTCTTAGCATGATGTTGCATGATTAGGGCAAACGTAGTAACGTTGGCCGCAGGAACGCCTTGTACAGTACCTGCACTTGTGTCGTGGTCGATAAATCTCTTGTCGATGCTCCTGGTCTGTGATTCCGATGCATGTCTTGCGTGAGCTTTGCACGCTTCATCGATCATGCGCCATCCGATATTTTCAGCCTTAAGAATATTAGGGGTATCTTTTGTACGTATCAAGGCTTTAAGTAGCATGTTGAAATGGAATGTTTCTGGTTGGTATCCTCTCTTCAGCATCATATCCAGGATTTGAGCAGCTGCCTCTGGTGCCTTTTCCACAACAGCACACTTCATCCAATCGCCGAATATATGGCCGTGATAGACAGGCGGGAGGACTGAGATAGCATTGAGAGCAATACTAGTCATCTTGGAAATGTCGGTGCCAAGACGATACAGCAAATGTAGTCTCCTCAAGACTGATTCGGCTCGGCCAGTAGCTCCGCTGACAAGCAGATAGCCACCCTTGACCATGTCTTGGAATACTTGCTTTGCGTCGGTCAGACTGCGTGCCTCTAGAAATCCCACGAGCCAAGCATCATAGTCTTCGGTCGTGCAAGCGTCGTCTTTCTGCTCTCTCATCCTGACGTAGATTTGCTTCGCTAGATGATGATGTTCTAAAAGCTCCGAGCTCGTGTGAGCGCGAAATACAATCATCATGACAGAGGTATCCCAATTAGGATACAAACGGAAGAGCTCGTTCATAATCCACCGGCTACGATCGACATTCCCGAAGAGAGCATGTAGCTTAGCACCAATTTCCAAATGTTCCGGTCTATGCCCATGTATAGCACTTTCAGGATCCGAAGTATGATCCTGCTCCCATGCGCTAATAGCATAATCTTCCCTGCCACTAAGAAATGCTCTTTCGAGATATTCAGCCCTCTGCCCAGCGGTCACGGTATATCCCGCCCTCTCCATGTCCCAAAGAAGTTGTCTTAAATGTGCCTTTCGGTTTCGATTATTGGGCGAATCGACAGACTGAGTCGTCCATAGTAGATCCCAGGCCCTTTTCGAAAGACGCGTTAAAACTTGAGGATAGATTGCTTTGGATAGCATATATGCCCGCCACAAGGGTGCGCGGAGACTATTATCACGGCCATCGGTGGCACTGACCGACCAGAGTACAATGTGAAGCCTTTTGAGTGCATACAAATTCCTAGAATGACCATTTTCCAGAGAGATCAATGAGTGTGGTACATCTGCGAGCTTCTTAGGCTCTGCAGCCCGAGTTGTATCGCTAAGAGCTGCCCCTGGGACGGTCCTAGGTCCATTCAATTCCGTAAGCAGTCCCGTGGGTTTTTGTATCGTTGGATTCCATTGTGGAATGTATGTCGGTATTTCACGAGGGAGCGTTCGGAGAGAACGTGTCTGGAAGTCTGGAGCGGGGTGGTATGGGCATCGTAGTCGACAGAGACCGAGCATCAGCTGGTGAGGTCGCGAGTGGGCGAAAATTACAGAGCAGTAACTCAATTTGGTCGCATTTCATGGGATGACGGTTATGCTTGTTCTCAAGTTCTCACTTTGGAAAAATGTCCAGATGGCGCTAGCGTTATCGATAATGATGACATAACGTACATTCACGTGATATTTTGTACGAAAGTTTAGGCCCAGTCTCAATGCTGAACATCTATCACTTCACTACCAGGTTTCTTGGTTGCGAAGTCCTCTGGTTTCCCTCTCTAGGCTCTAAACTTGAGAAGAGAAGTGTCCTTTATATGTGGGATTCAGAATGATCAGACTTATTCTCATACTGGAAGAACAAAAAATATTAAGGTACTTTGGATATGTGCCTCCGTCCTGTTCTAGTCGTCATGCAACTTTATCTTAATGCTATTTGGAAAAGAAATCC